CCCCCTCCTTCCGTCGTATTTTCCTGCTCTCTTCTGCTCCCTGCTCTTCCGCAGAGCGTCTTCATTCGAACACGATATCCGCTTTCCAGGGACGCTCTCATCGTATGCTGCGTGAACACTTGCACCAGCCTGCTGAGCGGCGTCGTCATATTCTCCGTGGTCGGCTTCATGGCTCATGAGCAACAGAAACCGGTGGCCGACGTAGCTGCTTCTGGTAATATGCACGCGTTATCCTTTTCACGATCATTGGCTCTGCCAAATTCGCGGCGAGGACAGCGCTAAATTCTCAATCAACCCCATCGATACTTTCGCACCAACTAGGACCCGGTCTGGCCTTCCTGGTTTATCCCTCGGCGGTGCTGCAGCTGCCCGGGGCCTCGGTCTGGTCGTGCCTCTTCTTCTTCATGCTCTTGCTGATAGGCTTGGACAGCCAGGTAGCGCGCTCCCGATCCCCGTTGTTCTCAAATTATTGGGTTGATGCCTATAGTTAAAAAAAAACCGATTTTTTCGGTCTCTTTCATTTCAGTTCTGCACGATGGAGGGCTTCGTCACAGCCGCCGTGGACGAGTGGCCACGACTGCTCCGCAAGCGGAAGGAACTGTTCATCGCGATCGTATGCCTGATCTCTTACCTGATCGGCCTGCTGTGTGTCACGGAGGTGAATGCACACATAGAAAAAAAAGTCTTAAGTCAAGAATAGATATTCTCATGCTATAAGCAAGAATATTGTAATCTTCTTAGGAAATTTTGGTCTTGACTTGATTAAATTTGCATTGATGCAAGTATTACTTGCACTTTTCAACTCAAGACTAAAAATCTCATAAGAATATTATAATATTCTTGCTTACATATGAGATTATCTATTGTTGATTTAAGACTACTTTCTTCCTGTGCACATCGACCTTATCTCTGTACACCTTGCACGTTCACGAACTGATAACCGGACGAATACGCTTCCAGGGCGGGATGTACGTGTTCCAATTGCTAGACACGTACGCCGTCAGCGGATTCTGCCTGCTCTTCCTGATGTTCTTCGAGTGCATCTCCGTGTCGTGGGCGTTCGGTGTGAACCGGTTTTACGACGGTATCCGGGACATGATAGGCTACTACCCGTGTTTCTGGTGGAAGATCTGCTGGACCATCACCACACCCGCCATCTGCGTGGTAAGGCCGCAGCCTACCGATCCCCCCGGTTAACGATTTCGCATTCCTTTTCTCTCAGTAAACGCTCCCTCGTAAACCTTCCTCGCAGGGCGTCTTCATCTTCAACATCATCAAGTTCGTCCCCGTGAAATACCTCACGTACGAATTCCCCTGGTGGAGCCACTTGTTGGGTTGGCTCGCGGGACTCTCCTCGATGCTCTGCATTCCGGGCTACATGATCTACATCTGGTACGTCACACCGGGAACTACCTCAGAGGTACGTAGGATTCGCGCGGGTGCGAATCGCACGCGTCCAAGTGCCCCACGTGTCGACTCACTCACTCTCTCTCTCTCTCTCTCTCTCTTTCTCTCTTTCTATGTCCGCTTTTCCAGAAATATCGGAAATTGGTCAAGATAGAGGACGACGTAGCCGCACTACGGAAGAAACTCAATCCATCCAAAGCTGCTGCCATCAACGCCGAGTTCGAATTGTAAGAGCCGCGTGCGCGCCACTCACGATCGCGGGCTTTCGGTTCGCGCGATTCACGACGAAAGAGAACTCATCACGACGAGCGCTTCATGAGAAACGGGACGAGGATCCGAGCGCAATGGGGAAATGCTAAGCGGATCGGAAGTGAATCGGGTTTCGTTCCCCAGAGTAGCCTCTCACCGAGAGTGATCAAGGTATACCGCGTCGGTCTCGCTCACTTCGGGGGCGTAAGTAACATCGAGCGACGTTTATTAATTAAACTAATATATCATATACTTCTTATAATCCGCCTTCGAATAACATATCGTATGAAAAAGGGAAAGAAAGACAATAATAATACGCTTCGCAATAACACACGCTCGACCACCAGGTCCATCCTTTTGACCCACCCTCCTCTTGCGCCCTCACGTCACAATTGCACGTGATCGTAACGAGATAATACTAAAATTCTATCCGAAAGCCTCTTAGCCTAGTTAATATAAAAATCAAGCGCGATCGTTTCGCTTAAACGTATTAGATAAAATATATATGTATGTGTGTACACGTCGGCGATGTCCGATTCTCAATCGCAATCGTTTCCGTATATCTTTTTTTCCTCTTCCTTCTTTTCTCTCTCTCTCTCTCTCTCGTTTTTACCGCCGTAACAAATGATTTCCAATAACGCGGGATGCGCGCTACGCGCGACTGACTAAGAGAGACTTCAAACCTCGGCTGTGCGGCCAACGACTACGTCGCGATTTAAGTTCTACGGATCTTTGTTCTGCATCTCCTTGATGCGCACAAGCAGCTGCTCCTTCCACTGATCCTCGGAGATCGCGCTCGCCCACTGCGGGATGGAAGTTTCGGGAAGTGTAATGGACGCCATTACAGACTTCACCTGCTTGATCTTAGCCGCGTCCAGGTCGATGTCGGAACGATTATACGGACACGACCAGACTTCCAACACCTCCGAGGCACAGCTCTGATAAACGCCAGATAATGCAAGATGATATAATCGTACGGATGCGACACGCACAGATACAACATAGATAATTCGACCGTACAATCATCGTTCAATTATTATGCTTAGGCATAGTTTTTTTATTTTCTGCTTAACTTGTGGTAGGCTTAACTTGATAATGTTTTAAAAATTATGTTTCTTTATTCACAGTTGATCTCATTAAATTAAAAAATTACTCTAACAGAACCATAAATTTAACGATTAACCATAAACAGAACAAACACTATTTTTATATTATCAGTTTAAATCTAAACTATAAATTAATCGGAAGATAATAAACCAGGTTTTAGAAAAATTACAATTATAATAATATACTTAAATAACGCTTACCTGCTGGGCCTCGACTACTGGGGTAGATGGTGTTTGATTCGACTCGCCAACTCCAGAGAGCCATTCATCGTTCTGAAAAGGACGTTTTGTTTCAATTACAGTTTGCCTCTGATTTTCTTTGATGTAACTCACAATATACAAAGATGAAGGTTATTCTGCCTTTCAAATACCTCATCCTCATCCAATATAGGATCAGCATCGGTGGATACTTGAGATAGTGGAATGTATCCTGTCATACCCATATCGTCATCCTCACTATCCGAGTCATTCGCCACCCTTGCGTCCAGGGGTACATTGGAGGCCGTCAAATTCTCTTGGATGGGTTCTTGCGTGGGTTCGGGCGACATGGTGCATCGGTAGATTCGATTAACTGTGATCAACAAGAATTTTCATCAACATGCCAACATAAACACATCTATTCTTCTTGTGTAAAAAACACAAAACAAATGTCCAGGATATCGGAAAGAAAGGCAGAAAAAAGAGAAGTTGCGGAGAAACACGGGGAGAGGAGCTAGACACGGTCTTAAAGTATCACCCTAACCTTGAGGTTATCCTCAATCTCGCTGACAGATATGCACGTTTGATTGTGGGGAAATCGAATATTTAATATTACGTTGATACTAACGGTGCTAAACAGAACATCTCCTAGATCGTGTACGTGCAGCAAATAAACTCGAAATCGACTACGCAGGACTAATGTTCGACAGGCCGATTGTCAGGTCATTCCAGTCTCTTCTTCTTCGGCTCCAGCTGATCCAGCTCCATACGGTCGATAACAACAAACGACGCTTCCGCTTCGGGGTGAAGTGAAATTGGTAATTTATCGGTCCTTTCAAAATAAGGAAGAAATCTCCCTCCGTCGGTAACGCACTTCGTGAAGTTTCATCGTAATTTCATGCAGAGTACACTAGTGTTCCTCGTGAAACTTCCATGAGAAAGGAAAAGTCTTGTTATCAGATCGATTCAAGCAGCGGAAACGCGTATATTTCGGCTTTCACGATGTTTTTTGCGAAGAGGGAAAAACGGTACACATTTCTCTTCTGGTTTAAGGCCTGTATTCATAGTCGAGGCTCAAGGCGGTACTTAAGATCATCTTGGTCAAGATCATCTTATTGAATGAAGACCTAAACCAGGCCCCCTTAAATGCCTGAACTAAGATTCGCTTTTTTCAGGGATATTCGAGGTAAGTTCGGTTCTCTCGCAGAGTCAGACCAATCCTTAAAAATATGCAGCGAAGCGTCACAAAGCTCCAGATAGCAGAAACCTCGAAGAAACGTCTTAAATATTTTCAAAAGACGCTTAAAAGACATCCGAAACGGTAGAACATTTTGAGACATCTTTGAGATGTCTTTGAGATGTCTTTCGGAAGTTTCTGCCACCTGGGGGAGGTCTTCGAGGTTTTGCGGTATCTGCTTTTATTTCACACGACAAGAATGTAGCGCGGGACGGACATTTAAGATCCACGATGGTAACGAACGTGTTAACGAATTACAGCAATGATCATTAAGCTCTCTTATCGTGGCTCGGAGAGCGAGCGAGAAAGAGAGAGAGGGAGACAGAGAGAGAGAAAGAGAGAGAGAGAGAGAGAGAAAAGTTCGAGGAGCAAAAAGAAAACGCGCGCGAGATGAATGACGGACTGGCCGACGTTAAGCCGACTGAGTTAAGTTAAAGTAGTAATCCGGTGCATCTCGCGGAGGAGACTGGTGTCGCGGAGCATCCTCAGGAGACATGTCACTCATCGATTTTCTCGTACTTCCGACCATCCTTCTCGCCTGGTCAGGTAATCAGCAGATTCTTAGACCGTACTAGATCGAGCGATTAAACGCGATTTATCTGTTCCCTCGTTCTCTCTGTTTTTCCCCGCAAATAATCCAGACGAATCGATCGGTCCTTACTGATTGTACGATTGTAATTCCAGCGCGCGCTATCTATTCCATTCCAGCGTATCCGGAAGGTGCGCTGCTGAACGACGAGGCGTTGATCATCGAGTCGGTGCTGCAACGCGAACCGGCGACGTTCAAATTGTACACCAGGTGCGTTCACGATTCCTTCTTTTTTACTTCGAGACACAAGAGACGAGAGATGAGGCGTAGAAGTTAAGATATTATTACGCGGGATCTAAAGTAAGGATGCCAAAATATTATTGAAACGCACGACGGGATTTTCGCGATTGTGAGAGGAGGTCAATCGGGAGGAGCGTAACTAAAAAGTATATTAAAGTCCGTGTCACATGGAAAGAAGGAATTAGTTTTCTACATAATGTAGCTTTGAAATTTAGTTATTACTAGACCTAAGCCCGTATTTTGAACTCTCTTTTATCAGTAAAAGCGCCTCTAAGAGTGGCTTAGAAACTACCGGAGAAGCCATGTTTAAGGAACTTTTATCGATAAAAGAGAATTCAGAATTCACAGGTCCTAGTTTTTAGTTGTGGGAGCTGAAGACTAGGCAGAGAGACAAAAAGAATTAACTGAGGTTTGTTTCGCATTTCGGTAAAGAAAAGGATAATAGATGATACGACTAGACTTGTATCGACTTGTGTCTCTTGCCAAAAAGCAACCTAAATTAACTAAATTTCAGTTGTAATCATATGTACAGCTAATTTTTATCTGTGGGAGATAGTTTGTACTTGTAGGAGTTACTTTCTCTCCGTGCAGATTACGGATTGAGGATTGCAATTAGAACAGTCAGGCATTTTAAATCGCTTCTGATTTATTCGATCAGTCTGATTGTAATTTTCAAGTAGTCCGTAGTCTGATACAAGTCTAAAGAATCGTTATTTACATTGATCGATGGGCCGTTCGGCGTCGGGAAAGCCTCGCAAATTGAATCCAGGGTGTGCGGATCGTGCGTGCCGACACGCCATTTATCGTATTCGTCTTCCTCTCGACGATCGCATTATAATTGTTGCAATCAATCGAGAGTATCTTAGCGCCGATCGAGAATCAATCACACGCCGAGGCTAATTTCCAAGCGTCGCGAGCGTTATCACGGCCTGCCCCGTAGCGGAGGATGCATCAATTTTTTCATGATACGTGCAATCAGCCAGCATTCTATTCTCAGCGCTGACGTTCTTCGATCGATTTTATCGAGCATCGAGGCGCCGCGTCGCGCGCCTTGTCGCGTCGCGTTGACGCGTGAATATCGCGCCCCCGGATTGACCGCCCCCTCCCCCTCATTCCTCCCGTATCTTTTTTCTTCTCTTTCGGTCGGACGAGCCGATCGAGGAGGGGATGCCTTTTGGACGTTGACGTCTTAATTCTTTCTTCCCAAGGGAAACGAGTGAAAAAATGTCATAACGCACGTCTGCGATAGAAAATGTCATGACTCTTGACACCGATGGATTGGCAGTTTTTTTCACTCACTGTGATCTGTAACAGGCGGTCACGCTGACTTCTTGACGCGCGTCCAGTTTTATTGTGATGTCCTTCTAATCTTCTTCTCATAACGGCTCCAGGAAGTTTGCGCCATGCCTATTTCTATTTCTGTTTTTTCCTCGTCTTTAACTGGAAACTACTGCAAGGGTAAAAAGTAATTTTACCGGTACAGCAAATTGTCAGTCACTGTGGGGACAACAAAAAGATTCGTTACACGGAAAAAATAATTTTGCCATTTTAGCAAAACCATTATTGTAACAGCGCTAAAATTTTGTTGGCATGACCAAATTTTTTTGCTGTCCCTGTAGTAATTAACAGTTTGCTATATCAGCGAAATATTTTTCTCCATATATATGTCGGATAATCGGTCTCTTTTGCATAATTAAAGTATTTCTAATATTTGATATTAAAAATGGATCTGCGATTTCTTCCTCATTGTATATTCCTCCAAGGCCAAGGTCTGCGTCTTTCTGGAGGAGACAGCTTGATCTCACCCCTGCCGGACACAAAGATGCACTCAGCTCGTGCTAATTATCATCATTCGTATTATAATTTCAAAGTTTCGGAGAGAAACCGTTTCTTCCGCATTTTTCCGCGGTTTCTTACCTTCTTTACGGAAAGCAGTAAGTGCGGCAGGTTTCAGCCGAACACGCGCGAATCTTTTAAACGAATTTCCGTGGAAAATTCCGCAGAAAAATGGGAAAATTACGACTTTTTTTTTCCGAAATATTAAAACCCATAATCCGCATCACTTTGCTCAGGGAGAACCCGTTCGGCGAGGAGCAGCTGTTCCTGAACGACACCGAAGTGCTATACGCGTCGCACTTCAACGAGAGCAGACCGACCAAGTTCATCGTGCACGGATTCAGCGATACCGGAAAAGAGGCTTGGGTGCGGGGCTTGATAGACGGTGAGTGGATTTGGATGTCACCGTGGCTGGTTCGCGCGCACTTTTCCAGCATTCGACGCAGGACGCGAGAAAAGTGTGAGGACAATCGGCCTTAGCCATTTCGGTAAACACGGAATCGATGTCGCCTGGGTTCAAGGGTCGGCGCGATAGCGGCTTAATTAATCGTTCCGCGAGTTTTTGCTCTCTCGCTCGTTCGCTCGCTCTCGCGCGGTCAGAAATAAACTTCGGGAAGAGCCGCTTTTTGTGTCGCGCGATACGAAAGCGCGACGACTCTTTCGTCCTCCAGCGTCGCAGCTCGCATCCAAGTTGCGAGGGCCGGGTAATCAATAGGGTCTTTATTAATCTTCGATGATTTTGAAACTTCGTAGCTTCGAAGAACTTTCGCATTTTTATAATACGAAGCTTCGAAGCTTCGAAAAGTACAAGCTTGCGGATTCTGTAGACTAATGTCTACATATATTTTACTAAGGAAATACTGAGAAATCTCGTGAGTGAACTTTTGTAGATGAATGGATGTATCAGATATTATACAGTCCAAAAATCTTATAATTCCCATGTTTCGAAGCTTCGATACTTTCGAAATTCGACTAATGAATACTGAAGCATCGAATCTTCGGATATTCGAAATTCGAATATCAATACATGCAAGAGGAAACCCGCTAGCCTTAGTAATCAAGGGAGGAGGCACAGATGATGTGACTTGAATGCATTTTTAGCTTATCTGGTTTACGAGGATGTGAACGTGATAGTCGTCAGCTGGGGGATTCTGGCGGCCGACGAGTATCCGGCGGCGGCTAAGAACACGCGCGTCGTCGGCAAGTTTTTGGCCCACTTTCTGGAATTCTTGAGTCGAGACTCGAACCTGGAGTACAAGGACGTTCACATCAGCGGCCACAGTCTGGGCTCGTACGTGGCCGGTTTCGCTGGGGCGTATCTCGAAGGCCGTATCGGCAGAATCACAGGTAGAACGCGATAGCGCGTGATAGAACGTGATAGCCTGAATAAAAATGTACATATTTAGTATATCAGCCTGAATCAAAAACTAGTAGTTAGCTAGTGCAGGCTAGATTAAATTTTCTAGCTCGTTACTGGCCGATTATTTACGATTATTCATAAAATGTAGAGTCCGTTCTGTAATATGACCATTGTTTATATATAGACATTATATATACACATTACATATCAAATATGATAAAGTAGATGCAACTGTCTACTTTAAAATATATAATCTAGCTGCTATATGTCCTCCATTATCGTTTAAAAATAAAGTAGCAAATCAGAATTGATAATGAAATACGTTATTCCATGACAACCTGCAGAAAAAGCAAAAAAGCGAGCGTTACATGACTGCCTCACAACTAGTTATAATTTTTCGTCTCATAACCATAACTTTTTTTTGCACAGCATCCCGCTAACTTTCTGGTCTGTTCTTTTTAACTGAACTGGCAGCACTAGTTCAAGGAATTCACGCACACTGAAACATATGAATCTCGTACGTACGCTTCATACGTTTCAATGTGTACGTACATTTCTTGAACTAGTTTAGTCAGTTCAGCTAAAAAGAATATCACTTATATTTTATCTAGCGATTATCTAGCCATTAGGAGAAGTGAGCGTTGCATTACTGACTAGTATAGCGACGTTAGAAACATTTTCAACCTCGTGGCTAGATACCCCGAGATTCAATTCCTACTAAGACGCTCCTCTGCCAAAGTATGCGACCGTTGATCCTAGCAATTTTCTCCAAGGTCTGGACCCGGCGAGTCCTTTGTTCGAAACCATCTCCGGTATCGTCGACCCGGAATACCGGCTGGACCCGACCGACGCTCAATTCGTCGACGTGATCCACACGAGCGGTCCCGCATTCGGATTCTTGGCGCCGTTGGGACACGCGGATTTTTATCCCAATAACGGAAAGTTCCCACAACCCGGGTGTTCCTACATGCCAACCATAAGTACGTATCGCCGGGTATCATAGAAAGGTTGCGCAATGTATTGGGTTGATGCAAAACTTCAAATTCGTTTTTTAATCAGTTCTTCGTTCGGAAATCTCAGAATATTTCATTGATTAATTGTAATTTAAAACAAATAAATATTATATGTATATTTTAAAGGACGGAACGGAACGAATTTTTGCGTCAACTCAATATCTGAACGTCGGACCGTTAACGTCGCTCTCACTGCTCGTGTTACAGCTTACTGCAGCCATTCACGGGCGCATCAGTTCATGACCGAGAGCATCGGCAGCACGGTGGGCTTCAAAGCGAGGATGTGCGACAGCTGGGAGAAATACAAGAAAGGACATTGCAATCACAATCCGATCGTTCTGATGGGCGAATATGCCTCTACATCGTAAGACCGCTTTGTTTTCCAGGTAGCGGAAGCTTCTAAAAGACATCTTCGAAACGCCCAAAAAAACGCCTAGAAGGAAAAGCCGGACGTCTTTTAGAAGTTGTACACCGTAAAAAATTTTGCGTTAAAAACGGTACACTGAAATTTTTTGTACTATTTTAACACAGATAATATGTTAAAAAGCACCCAAATATATGTTAAATTAACATATTCATTTTCATGTTAATATATTATCTTTTAACATATTCACCTTGTTAAAGTGACAAAAATTTCAGTGGACCGTTCTTAACACATAATTTTTTGCTGCGTACTTTTCGCTCTTCACCCGATTTACTTCAATATCTGATTGCGAATCGAATCTCTTCCCAGATTACGCGGCAAATTCTACTTGACGACCAACGACGCACCGCCGTTCGCGCTGAAGTGACGTTCGCCTTGGGCATCGATCTCGACGGATTTCGACTTGAGAGAATTTGCGAACTCACGACGATTACGATCGCGCCGATCGCGTAATAATCCGTACTAGTCATTCGTAAATTACTTTATTTATGAAACCCTCGAATACATATCGGGCATGCATGTGCCGTATCAGGATGTATCTTTACACGCGTAATGTTGTATACTTAGAAAGAGTACAAATTACATTAACTAAGCAATCTCCAAACCGATATGATTTCCGCGCAATTAGCGGTACTCTTTTCCGTCTTACCGCATTCCTTGGCTTTTCCAGCGAGAAAGAAAACTCCTGAGCCCATCACCGTCGTCATTCCCAATTACATCGAGCAAAAGGACTCAGGAAGGATCCCTTAAGTTGAATATTAAAGCATTTCTTTGCATCTTCAACATTGGCTCTAATAAACGACTTTTCCGATAAAACACTTTCATGTTTGGATTCTAACGGTGCGGTGTAACTATGAGCTATAGAAGACTTCGCGTTAATACGTAAAGGAAACGTAGGTAAGTGGACAAACCGGTGGGATTATTATTGTTTCATATCGCGAGAATGCTTAAAGAATGAAACCACTTATGAGACGACTCGTGCGTTGAATATTTGACGATACCCGGCGAACGCGGCGAGTCGCGTGCAGCCGTTGTCCTTTCCTCGGAATGTTTCTCCAAACTCTTCGTATCACCGCTCGATCTTCGCGCGACTCCGCAATCCGAGGGATGTTTCGCAACGGATACTGGATACTGTTGTTACTGTTGCGCTTGCTGTGCGTCTCCTGCGTCGCCAACGAAAACATCATGGCGCGAGACTACTTCGCGCATAAAGGAGTATCCAGCGTTGTGGGCTTCACCTGCGACACCGTCGAGCGTATGTAAAGACATGCCGAACGACGAACGAGATACGCGATTTTCGTCGCTACAAGCTGGACCGTTTCTCTTGATGCAGACACCGCGAAATTCGCCAGAACGTTCAACAGCGTCTACGTACCCTCGTCAATGTGGAATCTCGATTTCATGAGCAAACTGCCGTCCCGTACCTTGAGGAGGCTCTTGCACAGCAATCACCGCAATTTAGGCGTGTACATTGACGCGCGATGCGACAGTGATAATTACACTATGATCTATTCCGAGGTGAGAGAGACGACTCCCACGATGTTTAATTAACACGTTGAATGCTGCGATAGTCATCGCCGAGCGACAATGTGATACTACCGTGTCGTATTGAGTTACATACGAAATATGATTAATTGCACTTACCAAATTGTTTGTACAGCCAATAAAGAGCTAATGAAACGAGATAAAAGTTACATGTATCTCTCAAATTATACTTACATACTGTACTTTTAGCATTTCAGTTATCGACGGGGTTGGATCATTTTTTATGTTTAACTGAGTTAAGTTACAAGTTAATGGCCTAGAAAATGTATTTAGTTGGAAGGTACCCATACAGAAACTAGCTTAATTGAAAGTTTAATTATAATTAAATTAACTTATTAATACCGACTATTTTGTCGCTCAGAATAAGAAAAAAGTGCAAACGCTCAGAGAGACGAAAAGAATTCGAGGAAAATAGGAGTAGAAAGGCACCGATTGAATTCTCCTTACGATTTATTACTTCGGTTTAAGGCTACGAAGTACTTGCTGTACGACGAGATGCACAAATGGCTGATCTTGGGAGCGAAATTGAACGACACCGTGAATAAGCTAAATGACGACGCCTTCAACCTGGTGACGGACGTGACGATCGCTGTGCCGTCCCTCACTGGTTACGATCTGTACGATGTGTACAATCCCTGCAAGGAACGTGGTGGCACCCTGAATGTGACTGCTTTGGGTTACTGGACCGAGAAATCCGGCGTGGCGATCAAACTGAAGCAGTCCAAGTTCACGAGGAGGTCCGACCTGCACGGCATGAAGCTCAAAGTGGGGATTTTGGTAAGCAATCGATCGACACGGCAAATTTTACATAGAACGATGCAGATTGATTAGCGTGATTTATCGGCTGGAATATCCTGCAGCTGTCGTATAAAGTCTACAACTTGTCGACGGATAATATCTTACGGGATCCCATCTTGAAGGCGAAATATGGCCGATCTCAATTTCTCTTCACGCTCTTATCGCACATGGCCGATCTTTTCAACTTCACGTAAGAATCTTCAACAAGCTCTTCTCGTTATTTTCACGCTTCCTTCTATATATTTGTATTTCTTCTATTGTTATTTATTTATTATTCTTTTATTTCTTATTATTTCTTACTATTCATTATTTATTCATTACTGTTTTTAATTTATTACCTTTATTATTTACATTCTTTTCCTTTTTCAGGATGGATATTGTAGAAGTGAACTCGAAGAAGAAACAGGACAACACCGCGCCGATATTCGTCGCCTTTCAAAAGAAGCAGATTGACATCTCCGCCAGCCCGATCGTAATGAAGACGGAGAAATTAAGGATGGGCGACATTATCGGACCTGTATGGCCGATGCGGTGAGTGATTTCTGCGACGTACAATGGACACGTGAATTTCGTCTCATTACTCGTCATGATCCACGCTGCAGAACGTGTTTCCTATTTCGCACGATCTCCTCGGCGAATCTGAAGAGGGAGCAATTCTTGCGGCCGTTAAACATCAAGGTGTGGTACCTGATACTCGGCATAATCGTAGCCGGCGCATTAATCTTGACAATATTGCTGAGACAAGAAGGCATCCACGACGTGAAGGAAGGCTACAGCATTTCCGTTCTTCTCACTATAGGCGCCCTCTCCCAACAAGGTATGAATTAATCAGGGATATTAATTCCTCCGATTAAATTATAATCGGTTCTTTAAGTGACGATGAGTGAAGGATCTCTTGACTCTTGGTGGATAAATTGATTAAGCCTTCTCGCAGGTGCCGTAGTGGTTCCGTATCATTACGCCGGTCGCATAGCGTTTCTGCAGATCATGCTGTTCAGCTTACTGATTTTGAACTACTATTCCGCGAGCGTCGTGTCGGATCGGCTGAAGAACAGGGCGCAAAAGATGAACGACTCATTGATCAATCTGGCGAACAGCCACCTGAGGATAGCGGCTGAACCCATGCCGTATCTTCGTACTTTTCTGCAGGTAATCTATATCCCCCCGCGTTCCTTCATCTATGTACCACTAATGATATAGATGATTTATTAATTCATTCAATGGCACTACGTGCTTTGCTCCCAGGCCCATAAACAATCCTTCTCCTTTTGGTTAGACCAAGAGTAAGGAGTAGTCTTTCTTAATTATTATTTTCTCACTGCCATCGCATACAAGTCATCGGAAAGAGAGGTGCAATATTTCATGGAGAAACAATGGGAAAGAGTGCCGGAATCCAAACGATATCTGCCTTTGGCGGAGGGCCTGAATAGCGTGGCCGAAGGCGGCATCGCCTATCACACGACCATCGACTCCGCGTATCCGTACATCGAGCGGAATTTCCAGCCGCGGATGATATGCGAGCTGACGGAGGTCCATCTCTTTCGCGCGGTCTTGGCTCTCTGGGCCAGGCACAAGAGCCCGTTCACGCCGTTATTTAGAGTCGGGTAGGCGAAACGTACCAGAAATTAACGTCATGGTCAACCCACGATATTCTATTAAGCTCAATGTTAGTTCTTGCGAACCATTCTCACGGTCAGTTCTAATTATTTGTAAGATGTTACATGGCTTTTATTCTTTCTTACACGGAAAAGATAATTCAGTTTCTGCAACTGAACAGGTAGGGGACTGGATGAAAACTCGGTGACAAGAAGCGATATTTCTGTTATCGCGACTGAGACATTCGTGTGAACATTCAACAGCATTGAAACTTAGTTAAGGTAACTGACAAAGGGAGGGTCAAATCTTGTCATTACAGATTTCGTTCAAATTGAAATGTGTTGTAATACCGAGTCCCCATTAATTGATAGGCTAGTGAAACGACGCAATTTGCAAGTGAAGCGAAGCAACTTGCGTGCAAAGTTTCTCATGAGCCTTAATTACCCTTTACGAAAGTGAAGCAGGCTAAGGCAGCGGACTAGTACGTTGTGCATTCAAGTCTAGCTTTATCTTGCTCTTTTACCTTTTCGACATTAATATTTACGAAATGTTAATTTCAATTAACGATTAGGCAACGCATAAATAATCCAAATATGCCAAAAAATTATGATTTAATGATTGCAATATTTCTTGACTTGCATATTTCAACATCTACAATCCAACAATATTGATTAACAATTACAATATAAAGTCCAAATTCATTTTTTACATATGCTACATGCTTTATTTTAATTACCAATCGGAATCTTCCTTGGTTTGATTTTCAGGAAACGATATGCACGCTTTAGAGTAATAATCGTAACCCTTGTGAGAGCGATTGATCGAGTAGAAACCTCCTACAGGAATCTTTTTGTTCCTACACCGAGCTTTCGTCTGGTCTCCAGATAACAATCAGTTACATCAACGGAATTATTTTTTCCATGTAGAGATTTTCCAAAGAACAAGGCAGAAATTCATTTTCCTTTTATTAAAATAAATTAAACATTTAATTTAATTAATGTCACTAAGGCCAGCTGTTGAAATTACATTGCGCTCTTCACAGTCTAACCAAGATGTACAACATGGGCATACGCAAGCGTCAGCTGAAGCGCTGGTTACCCCGGAAACCTTTCTGCCCGAAAAACATACTGATCGCCGAGCCGCTGTCGATCCTCGAGGCCGCGCCGGTCTTCGCGTTCCTCAGCATCTCCGCCGCGCTCTCCATCGTGATCTGCATCGCGGAAAACTTCGTTTACTGGATGCGACCTATTCGGTAACACCGAGCGATTAAGTGAACGGAGCGAACGAGAGAGAGAGAGAGAGAGAGAAAGAGAAACACGGCGATAATTTTCAATTCTCTTCACTTTTTACAGATTATCCACGTCTACTGGCGAGGAGTGACCAGCGCCGAGAAATCTGCATTTTTTCACCACTGATCAGACGCATATCCGTCGCAAGGATACCCCCGCGCCGACGATAAACCGTTTTTATACGGCCAATCTCGAGCGGATGCGCTTATTTCGATAAAACTTTATCGTCGATTTATTGCTGGCTCGTCGAAAATTTGCGTTCGCTCGCAAATAATTAATCGCGCCTCTCGCGCACGATATATTCGATACGTTACCTAGTTCGCATTTCTCGACAGGATTCAACGTCACAGTAGCCGACGTGAATAAACAATGAGACAGCAGACGTCACGTCGAATTAATATTACCTCGGGCGCTGTATTATTAATCGACGAAACCGTGCCCCATCTTCCAGCGTTTATTTCGTCCGCTCGTATTCGCGCGTTTCGCCACAGTCTCGGCGCGTTGCGCAAAATATATCGCGAGGTTACTTATCGTTCGATTCTCACGTGGCACGATATGCACAATCTCCGAGTGAAGCACGTCGGAACGTACGTGGCGCTTTTCGCGTCGCTCTGCCTCGCTTCTAACGTTCGCGCGGCCGACGGCGACTTCGTCCGCGACTACTTCGTGCACAAAGCGGTGCGCAGTGTCGTGGGATTCTCCTGCGGGAATCCCACAAGTAGGTCCAGTCGCTCAATCGTCGTCGGGATTAGATAGATAGATATTGATTTATCTCAGCTTGATGCCGAGAAGGAACTTAGCATACAATTTTTACCTTAACCGATACTTATCCATCTGTACCTTAAACCTGTTTGATTAGTTAAAATTCAATACATACCCATTGTTGGCTTGTTGCAACATTGCAACAATGTTGCTGCAAGCTTCCGTGCTGCGTGGGTGAATATCACTGCACCAACGTAGTCTTTCTCATTATTTCTATCCAATTCATCACAGTCTCTTGTATCTAATCACTAATTCTTGATTAATCTTATTTATTTCCGATTGAATTCTTGGATTAATTCTCCAAACTATTTACTAGTCCATCTAACACCTCTTCGCTTTCCATCTTACTTTCCTTTCCTATACCTATGTTAACTTTATATTAACTTTATCCTATATTAACTTTATCTCTTTCCTTTTTTCTCTTCTTCAACTCCCATTCTCTCTCTTTAATCGTCGGGATTACGTCGTACACTGTTCATTTCTAGGATATGCGTATGTGTCCTTTAACTTCTTTTTCTCCATTTGTCTCTCCTCACCGTAGACGATTTTAATTTCGTGAAGAAATTAAGCAGCGCCGGTATATTCACGATCGTCCGGAAAGTGGACGCGAAGCTCAACATACGACGCTTCCTGAGCACGGAGACGTGGACCTTAGGCGTCGTCGTGGATCTGCGATGCGAGAACGACAGCGCCATGGCCATTTTCTCCGAGGTAAAGAAGCTTGCAAAGTCGACAGATCCTTTAACACTTAGACTGTCCAGCTAGTATTGAGCTTTTAAAGCTCATGAGACCCAAAGTCGTAACTCCCGCGATCGTATATACAGTCAGAATACAAAACAAAGCAGTTATTAAGACTTCCATGCATACATGTGGCAGTCTGAGTATTAATTCTCTCGCCTCTAGATAGATGAATTATAGATGAATCATAGATGAATTTATTATGCCCTCTGTGAGAAAACTTCCCCTCGAGCCGCCGCGCAGAAAGAGAAGGAAATAAAGCAACACGAGTCTAAAGACTAATATCTCGTGCCCATCAGAGCTCCAGGTATCGTATGTACGATTACTCGTACAGCTGGCTGGTCTTGGGATCCAAGTTGAATAAAAGCGTGCCTCTTTTGAACGACACCGCGTACAGCATGACCACCGATCTCGCGCTCGCGATCGTCAACGGCAGCGATTACGATCTCTACGACGTCTACAATCACTGCAAGTATCGAGGAGGCACTCTGAATGTGACGAGGCTGGGCTCCTGGCGACCTGGAGCCGGCCTCACCATCACTCTGACTCAACCCTTGGTCCAGAGGAGGGCTAATATGAACGGCATGACGCTGAAAATATCGGGCGTGGTTCGTATGTCGCCACGTATGTCTAACTGTGAAAAACAATGAGATAACAAATATCTGTGAACAAATATTTGCAACTTGTGTCACAAGTATCTATACACAAATATCTTTGTAACTTGTATCACAAATGCTGTTCAATAAACACCAACTAACTATAACGTTATATCAATCTTATCATTTCTCACTCAGTAATGTAAATGCAATATAGCATACGTTATATGTAACGGTTATATTGTTGAGTGGGAAATTATGAAATTGTTGTAACGTTCTTGTTGGTTGGTGTTTACTGGATGTAAAAAAATATCTGTAACTTATATCACTCATCAGTTTGCGCGATGTGAATTACCGTAGATACAATACAGGCCGAAAAACATGCGCCTGGAGGATTACATGCACGACATCAACACCAGATCGTTGGACAGCATGCACAAATTCGTGTACGCGATGATATCTCACACCGCTGATCTCTTCAACTTCAGGTACTTTCAATTCCCCCTTCGACAGATCGGTATTACCAAGCGAACACGCGCGCGAATCGCGAACGGTAATTCCGTGAAATTTATACTTGAAGTGTACACGCCTCGGAGATCATTTATTGGGACCGCCACAGCGTGCACGGTTTGATATTCGAGATCCTGAATGCGAATTACATCGACTTCGGCAGTAACCCCAGGATTATGGTGTCCGAAAGATTAGAATACGCCACTCTCATCGGCGCGGCATGGCCAATTCGGTACCGGCAATATCCGTCTCTTTTTCTCGAAAAAGAGAGAGAGAGACATATCAATCGTCTCGACTCGGAAACGATACCTTTTCTTCCCTTTTCCCCGCAGACCCTGCTTCATGTTGCTGTCCACCACGGAGAACAAGATCAAGCTCGGGATCTTCTTGAAGCCGTTCACGCGGGATATTTGGTACGTGAACGGCGTGTTCATCGTGATATGCATATTTATCATGCGGATAATAATGAGGAGCGAGGAGGTGAGCAGAAGTGAGAAATATTCCGGGGCGATGGTACTCACCATGGGCATAGTCGCTCAACAAGGTGAGACATATACGACTACGAAATACAGCTTGAGCGAAGGCGCGCACACACGAGTCGCGATCGCTTCGACAATCTGATGTTCCTCGTTCTCCACCGCAGGTGCGAATTTCTCTCCCAAGCGCATTCCGAGCCGCATCGCCCTCCTGCAGATTCTCATGTTCAACTGGATCATGTACAACTACTACTCGGCCAGTATAGTGTCGGCACGCCTGAGCGAGCCGCTCGACAAGATGGAAGACTCCGTGACGGTGCTCGCGGACAGCAAACTGAGAATCGCCGCGGAAGCTGTGCCTTACCTGAATTACTTTTTATACGTATGTGTATATATACACACACATACACAATCGGCAGATTAAAGGTTGTGACATACAAAATGTAGTTCTCGATAATTACTAAAAAAAAATTCTTCTATTAGACACGGGATGCGTTGCGGGATTCATCGAAAAAACATGCAACCTTTAATCGGCCAATTATGTGTGTGTATTTATATGTTTTCTTCTTAATATTAAGATTGTACAGGGTGTTGCATCAACATATAGCTTCTTATGACGGGTTGCCTGCACAGAGGAGCGCCTCTCATTTTCTCACGTGTGCCCCTGCAGCATGCAACCCATCGTAACGTTATATGTTAATACAACCACCTGTACATACTCAGAACAGAAAATCACAACGATGTTAAAATGATGAGAAAATGACTATAATAACTCGGGGTTAGAATAGGGCGATGATATATAATGAAGACGAAAATGAGGAAGAAAAAATTAGATACGAAGATTGATGGGATAGGAGTTGCATCAGGAAAAAAAGGGAGACTAAAGAATACATAGAAGTTGGGGGAGGGAAAAGGAAATAAGGAGGGGTTCATAGAAAGAAGAAAAAGGTTAAAAGAATATCTAGAGCAGAAGTGAAGAGAGGCAAGAGAGGGAGAAGAGAGAGAAGCGAGAATGTTGAAGAATGGATGAGAAATATGGAGATACATAAATAAAGGAAGAAGGAAGAAGAAATGAAAAGAAGAAAATATAGTAAGGAAGGAATGGAAATTTCGCTTGATGAAAATATTTGGAGGTATAAGGGAAAGGTATAATGGAATAAAATGGTATAAGATCAAATGGAATAGGATGGAGATAGGATAGAAGAACAAGGAGAAGAGAAAGAGTTAGAAAGAGAAGAAATAGTAATGACGATAGATAGAATATTTAAGTATGCATGAAGATAACGATGAAAATATAAGAAAAGTTCTTTAGAGGATATGTTAAGACTATAACTCATTTTTCGATTATAATTCGATCGCTAACTCGTCCTTTTGATGTCATTTTGACGTTATCGTGATTTTCTGTTCTATCTGAGCGAGGAGTCGCAGAAGTCACGCGTGTCATAGATTATTATTCCCCCACGAACTTATAGAAACTCAACTGGGAGTCGAATTACTTCAGGAAGAAACGCTGGGACCCCCTGCCGGAGGCGCAAAGGTACTTGCCGTTAGAGGAGGGCATGCAGCTGGTGAGCGACGGCGTCTTGGCGTATCACACAGACCCCAATACGGCGTATCCTTACATCGAGAGGATGTTCGACGCGAACAAGATCTGCGCGTTGACGGAGATCCATCTGTTCAAGCAGTCCGTCATGGGTATATACGCCAGTCGCAACGGCCAGTTCACCGAGATTGCGAAGATCGGGTAGGTTCTCTTTCTCCTCTTCCCTTCGCCTAGACTTTTCCTCGAAGTGAATCGTAGGAAAATGAGGAGTATCTCTTTCAGATTGTCCAAGATGTTTAACACCGGGCTGCGCGATCGTCAGGTGAAATTTTGGTCGAGCAGGAAGCCCCAGTGCCAGCTGGACACGTTGTCCACGAGGAGCATCACCATATACGAGACCTCCCCGGCTTTGATACTGTTAACCCTCGGCATGGTCGTCGCGTGTGTAATATGCGTCATCGAAAACATCGTCTATAATCGATCCATGAGGTAATAGCACTGCGCATTTCTCAGTGGACAGTTCGGTGAAAACCTCCGATTTCCGTTCCTCAGGAAGGAGATGCAAAGGCGAGCGAGCAGCAGCGACGTGGAGAAGATAGCTGGCACGAGCGAGCGCAAGTCGCCCGAGTGAGGCACTTCGAAGAGGCAAACTCCCACGCATCGGTCGTCGTGTTATAAATTATGGATTCGTTAGTATCTCGCGCGCACCTCGCGCGAAGAAGTATATAACAAGTGTAATTTCTCTCAATCGCTGTAATCGTTCGAATAAAAGCTGGGGTCGCTTTGCATGACAAAAAGCGGCTCGCCGGCGAACTTTCTTATGAATACTTTCTCAGGCGAAAACAGCCGGACACTGAGAGACAGGCAAATCGATTGTAATGGACTCGACTTCGGGGTAATTGATAGGCAAGAGGGATGAAGTAGCGGAAGAGGGTCGTGCGTCGTGCCGTATACAGGGTGTCCCCGAGTCACCGTCAGATTTTCTAATGGCTGATTGCTTACGCAAATCGCGCGACAACTGTGTCTAATTAAGGTCGACGTTATCAGCTGAAAAAACGTCTCGTTAACGACAGACGACGTTTGGACGAAGAATCTGGCGGTGTGGAGAACACCGAGACAGTGCCGGGGCCACCCCGTATGCTCACGAATCGTGGTAATCGCTACGATTATGCTGTCATGTCGATCGACGAGAGAGTTATAATCGAATTTCGCGAAATCGTCCCCGCCGTCTCCACCGAGATCGTCCTGTCGTTTCGAGGGAAACGACGCTTAGGCTTAAACGCAGCACGTTGCAGCGACGTCACCGCTTCGTGCTAGTTCATGCACAACCAAAGAGAGCATGCGATCTTTGTCGAGCGTTGTCTTCTCGCTTCACACGTTCGTCGTCGTAGTCTGGGCGCAAAGCGGCATCATCATTCGGGATTACTTTGTCCACAAGAATGTGACCAGAGTCGTGGGATTCTCCTGCGGAGACACGGAGAGTAAGTATGGAACGTTGTTTCTCTTCGATCTATTTCAGTTACGTAGGAAGGATTTAGTTCCAGACGCGAGGGCTAAACGAAGAAAAGGTCAAAATGAAGTAAATAAAATTTATGTGAAGATACATTTTTGCCTCCCCCTTGCCCCTTCTGACCGAGATCCTGACTACGCCCATGTCTCTTCATGCGTGGTCTTCATCGATTCCCCCTTTCGCAGGCGACTTCCTCACGATCAAGCTGCTGAACGCCGTCGGGATCACCGCCATGATCAAACCGGCTGGGTTTCAACTGAATGTTCTCAGGTATCTCGAAACCGACCGCACTCTGGGGGTCTTCCTGGACATACGCTGCCCGGATCAGAATATCAGCGGCATCTACGACGAAGTAAGCGTTCCCTTTCTTGTAAGAGAAAAAAAGATGGGTGAATTGTGGAGACACTTCTTTGTGAAAATAACGTCAAAAGACGTAGATGAGGCGAAGACGTTAGAAGACGACGTTTCCACGCAGGGCTTGGATCATCGCCTGTTCGACTACTCATACAACTGGCTGATCCTGGGGGCCAACTTGAGCGACAGTGTGCGGAGCTTAAACGATAGCGGCTTCAGCGTCGTTACAGACTTCGTGATAACAGTGCCGGAGGAGGAGCCTAATTACGTTCTCTACGATGTGTACAATCACTTCAAAGTGCGCGGCGGAGCGCTGAACATCACTAGACTCGGCACTTGGAGCGAGATGAAAGGTCTCGAGGTTTTCTTGACCGAGCCGAAAATCATCAGACGGCGGAATTTCCAAGGGATACGGACCAAAGTGATCGGGATTGTAAGTTTTTCTTCGTCGAAACTGCGCGATACGTCAAGAAGGCTCCTACTCTGGACAAGCGCTGATTACGTCCTTTTAATTCCAACCCGAGCAGCGCAAATTGCTCGGATTGCCTATCAGCAGGTTCTGTCGTCAGAACGCGAGTTGAATGCGCACACAGATAGCTATGGTTTTGGCGTGGAATTCCGAACAAATTTACTGCCAGTCTGCGCACAGTTTGCAATCAATTTGTTTACTGAAGATGCATTCGTAGGTGCTGAACAGACCGAAGAACGAAGTGAGTCTGTTGGAATATTTGGAGAGGGACAAACTTGAGATCATGGACAACTGGCCGAAATTCGGCTTCACCATCCTCTCACACGTCGCTAGTATATATAATTTCAGGTAATTATCTCAATAATTTGTGTTGTTGTTTTTTTTGACATTATCCTAGCATTATCCTTTGCCGGTGTTATAGAGAAGATGATATTGTGATCCCTCGTTTACATTTTATACAATATCTTTGTTAATAATCAATCTTTTTTTTCGAAAACTTACCAATTATATTCGTCAAAGCGTTGTTCAGTCGATTTTATAAACTCAAAATTATGAAATATTGAAATTGATATTAGCTCATTGAGAACATGTTTGCAGTATGGAAGCCATCGAGATCGATCATTGGGAGAAGAACGACAGTCTGGGTCCCGTGATGGGCGCTTTGAAGAGGAATGTGGCCGACTTGGCGTATTATCCGTCGATTTTGACGCACGAACGATACGGACACGGGCGTGTCATTCTTCAGCAATGGCCAACGCGGTAAACGAGCGCAACGAGAGAAGCGCCTGTCCGTTCGTTCGCGCCGATAATCTCTCCTCCTTCCTGTCGCGTTCTCTCATTTCAGGACCTGCTTCATGTTTCGCACCATTCCGGCGGAGAAGATGAAAACCTGGGTGATACTGAAGCCGTTCGCACTGGACACGTGGTGCTCGATCCTCGCGCTCGTGGTGATAATAATTTTCGTTTTATCCTTCATACTGAAGCTGGAACACGCCAGCGATTACAGTTACAGCGTCTCGGCCTTGGTCGCCATTGCAGCTTTGTGCCAACAAGGTACGAGGCGCTCTTCCAATCGTCGTGGCATCGATAATATCGCACTAATATGCAATCACTTGATTGTGGTATCAGGTTTCCCTTCTCTCTCCGAACAATCGGCCAGTCGAATGGCTCTGATTCAGATCACGGTGTTCGGTTTGCTGGTGTACAACTATTATAATGCGGCGATAGTGTCGGCTAGGTTGAACGAGCCCCTCCATAAGATGAACGACTCGTTGTATTCGTTGGCGCATAGCAAGATCAAGCTCGGCGCCGAGCCGAATGTCTTCTTCAACTTTCTGCTGCGGGTAATGACAGGAATGCGCCGACACAGAAGCGCGTACGCCACGTCTCTCAGTTTTCGGACCTCGGCAGAATGGCTGACTTCTTGTCCACAACGTTGCCTTAAGACGTAAGCAGTAAGCAAATCGACCAACCTTCGAACATCGAACATCGATTATTCTTCTAATAAACGACTGTCGTTGGTCAATTTACTTATTTATGTCTTAAAGCAAGTTTGTGGACAAGGGTGACTTATCAGTTCAAGACAATGTTTCACGCCTTAAATCTTTAATTAATGCACAATGACTGTCTTGTATGTTAAATTAAAAGCTGTTCTATTTGTGAGTAATGAAAACCCGCTGTATAATAAAAAAGGGTAAATAAGTAATCGCTTAGACAAAGATTGAAGGTATAAAGCAAGGTCTACAATGAGAATTTAAGCCTTGAGAAATTGATCAATGACAAACGAATGTGGAGGAAAATAATCGACTGTGATTGGTCAGTTTCTTAAGGGTTAGAGCTTAAATTCTCATTGTAAACCCCGCTTAAAACATTGTCTTAAAAATACAAGTCTGGGTTTCAGCAAAATGATTGACTAGTACTTTTTAAGATAATGTTTTGATGCCCTAAATATGTGTCTATAAATTATTTGTTTACTTTTTTTTTTATTATGCAACGGTTCGTCGTCAATCACAAACAAACCGGTCTTTTAATTTAAAACTCAAAACGTAAGACAGTTATCGTGCGTTACTTAAAGACAAAGATTTAAAGTGTGAAATATTGTCTTGAACCGATAGGTCAGCCATTCTGATAAGGCCTAAAGGCTCTTCCTCGTTTCAATGAGGATCTCAATTTTGCTAGAACGCCAGACCGGACGTGCAGTACTTCAAGCGTTATTGGAACGATTTGCCAGACGCGGGGAAATTTATCTCTATCGAAGACGGCGTGCAGAGAATGAAGAAGGGCGGCTTCGCCTTCCACGCCGACCCGGATGACATCTATCCGTCCATCGACCTGGAATTCGACAAGCAGATGATCTGCCAGCTCACGGAAGTTCACTTGTTGCAGCCGTCCGAGCTCGGTTTATGGAGCAACCTTCGCAGTCACCTCCATGAAATCTCCAAGATAGCGTAGGTGATCGCGTCGTTGGCACGTCGAAGGCAGCGATTTTCATACTCCTTGACGTGAGAGGTGGATATACTAAAAGAAAAAAATGCTACCGTTCAAGTAAACATTCGCTAAGGAATATTTAAGCAATTGCACTTGGATTAGGTAAATATTACTGGAACGTAGCATTTTGTTCTTTCAGTGTGCCGATTCACGGTATACTTGATAATACATGAGTTAACATCGCCAGGATGATCAGGATATCCACCTCGGGAATTCGGCGGCGAGAGGTACGTCGCCGACAAGCGAGGAAGCCTTACTGCCCGACCGAGGAGATCTTCGTCTCCAGCGTGACGATCTACGAAGTGGCGCCGATGCTGATCCTTTTGCTCTTCGGCATGGCGCTTGCGTTGTTCGTCTTCGGTATCGAGAACCTCATGTTCCGCTTCATGCACTCGCAACGAAAGAAGGACGTCTTGCCTCTTAAGCGAGACAAGCCGTTGCCGAAGGGCAAAGCACCGGCTAAGAAACGCGTCAGCCTGGCCCAGCCGAAGAAAAACGCTCTTTCCAAGAACGCACCAACAACGAAGCGATGAGTCTCGTGAGGAGGGTGCGAATAAAATGACGAACAACGTTCTCGATGATCTCGTAATGTAAATTACTCGCCAGATCACTGTTGCGTACACAGGTATACGGAATGCGTACAAAAAAAAGGAAAAAAACAAGAAACTCGAACGAACGTGTTTGAGTAAAGTACAAACGTCTTTTCGCTAATCCGCTCACATTACCAAGATAACCCCGATGAGCACGCGCGCGAATGTAGAGTACAAAATAAACGCGTTAAGAGTAAGATATTTGTCCTTATTTTTAGTAGAATACTATTGCGGCATGCCTTGTATACGTCGAGAGAAGAAAAAAAAACGCGACTATATAAATCGAGTATAAATTTAGAGGAAGGAAATATAAAGTGTGATGATGCATATCTAGCCGAAATTGTCTTGTCAGTATCTAAGAGAAGAGGCGATAAATTACTTTTTCTTCTTGGACTTCTTATCGACGGCGACTGGCGTTGCTTCAGTGAGACCCATCAGCTGTTCCTTCAGTTTCAATAACATCTCCACTTGCGGCTCCCACACGTTCGCGTCTCCCTTAGCCTTTAACTCTCGCACGAGATTGCTCTGAAATTGCGACATCGCGAATCAGCAAATCGAGCGTGATATTATCGTGAAAGGAAGATGTCTACAGTCTAGGTAACACGCGGTACCTGTTTCGCGATAGCCGATTCCAACGTCGCCACGTCCGTCGCAGCATTCCCGACAGCATCCTTCTGGAACGTGAAAATCCTTTTAACATTTTCACAGATATTTGCGCGACGGTTGACAGTTCGTTCGCGAATACCTTTAAGATTAAGTCGAAAGAACACATTCAGGGTTGCCAGAGAAAATGAATTTGAGGATTGTAGAAAAGGTAGCTTATATTATTAGAAGCGACGCAGACTTAAAAGTTTAGCAAGTTAATACAATTCTGAATGCAAATTCAGGCCAATAAGAAATTAATGAATTTTGGAAGAAATAACACAGTTGAGAGCATTTAAGTGAATTGAGCAAAGTTCAAAATTCCAGGGTTTTCTATCAGGTTATTCATCCATACCTGATTTCTCCAGATTTTCTCTGACATTTTAAGTTTCCATAACTTTTCCCGGTTTTCCACATCTCTGGCAAACCTGACATTAATCAACGATCGATTGTCTCGTCATTTTACTCGCCTATAAAGTGTTCACGTTCTTACCTTCGATTCTTTTAGTCTCCTTTCATTAATGGCAGAGTGCAAGGCCTTGAGGTCGCTAATTTTTTGTTCGTAGAGGCGTGCATGCTGCTTATTCACGTTTGTCTCGACCTTCTTATTCTTCACGGGTGAGTTTTTTTCAGGCGCCTTCGGCGCGCTGACCTTCAAATCGGCAAGCTTCTTCTTCAAGCTCAACAGGATCTCCACCTGAGGCTGCCAAACGCTCTTCTCGTGCTTCGCTTTCAGCTCTCTAACCAGATTACCCTGGAAAGTGAACGAGATGTAGAGAATGGAAGAATTTTCACGCACGGGGGAGAAGAGATTCACTAACTTGCACCATGATGGCAGTTTCAAGAGAATCGACACTTTCGTCGGAGGCCACATTCGTTGCCGCTGTACGCCCGTTGATCTCCTGCTGTCCGGCGTATTTCTTCCGTAACATCTCCACCTGCTGTTCTTCGATTTTCGTGAACAACGGGCTGGGCTTGCCAATTTTGTGCCAAGTGGGCAACATGTTCGTTATCGTCTCGGGGATATAACCGTAGCTCTTGTTGCTCAAGCCCAACTGAGATCTCAATTGCTTAGCGGTGGTGGGCATGAAAGGAGCCAGCAGAGCCGACAGAAGACATGCTAGATTGCAGCAAATTGCAACAACGGTTCCGGCTCTATTCCTGCCGATTTCAAACAAAGATATTTATCGTCAGAGAAGCGGGAATGAATCGTATAAGTCGGACGTTGAACTGAGACGAAGTAAACGATGATTACTTGTCGTCGTCGGTGCCCTTGATTTTCACCCACGGTTGCTGGAACTGCATATACTGATTGCCATGCTTCGAGATCGCCAGTATGTACTTCAGGCCGTCTCTCAACTTGGCTTGCTCCATGGCGCTTATGTAGGACGACAGTTCGCGTTGTGCCAACGCCAACACAATCCAATCGGCCTCTTCTAGCTTCATCGGCGGCACATTGGAGTCGAAGAATTTCTCGGAGAACATCAGAGCTCTGTAGAAACAAGGCACAACGGATTACCGCGATGTCAGTTATTAACACGACTAACAGAGAGGCGAGAGAGGTCACTACGAACCTATTGACGAAATTGCCAAGATTATTCAGTAGCTCGCTATTGTTCTTCGTGGCCAGATCTATCCAATTGAAATTGGAATCTTGAGTTTCGGGTCTAATATAGGCTAAATAGAATCGCCACACGTCCGCTGGGATTCCAGTATCTCTTGCATCGGTTCCAAATACTCCGATGCCTCTAGATTTGGAAAACTTTTTATCCTCGTAATTTAGATACTCTGAAACAGGATATAATGTAGATATTAAACCGGCGGTGAGGAGAAAACGGTCAATTGAGAATGATGCAACAGATGAGACATAAAAAAGGAAAGGAACGAAATAATACAGATGTCACTCTCCACAAACTCGTAGAGAGAAAATAAAGCGTTAATTAGATAAAAATGTCAAGATGCGTAAAGTTATGAAATAAATGCGTCCGACAGATTCCTCGGGGATATCGTACCAGTTGCCATTAAATACTTGATCATCGTATTATTTTGATTAGCCGCTAGCAAGCAAGCGGGGAACATTATCGCGTGGAATGGAACGTTATCCTTCGCCATAAACTGGCACAAATCGACTTTCGTATCCTGAGGTTTCCACCATTTCTCATATTCTTTGGTATACCTCTTAGTAATACTGACATATCCGAAAGGGGCGTCAAACCAGACGTAAAACACTTTATTTTCGAACCCGTTTACGGGCACCGGTATACCCCACTTCAGGTCTCTGGTTATGCAGCGCGGCTTAAGGCCGTCGCGTAACCACGACTTCGAGACGACTTTCGCGACGCTGGACCATCCTTGGTTCACCGTCGCAGACCATTGTTTCAGTTTATCTTCCAACTGCAGCACAAAAGAGTCATGCATATTAAATTAACAATATTTCAATAATCGAGAAGCGAAATTATTAAATTATCAAATAATTATTAATTATTAACTATTTTATTAATTTTTCTTTAATTAGTATTATTATTACTTATATTTATGATTATTACTATCATATTAATTAAACATTTCATCTTAATTATTGACTAATTATTAATTATTAAATTACCTTAGGCAAATCCAGGAAGAATTGTACTGAATTCCTAACGACGGGTTTGGTGTTGCACATCTTGCATCGTGGCTCGATCAATTCGACCGCGTTCACCAGATGACTGCAGCCGTCGCACTGATCACCACGCGCGTCCTCGTACTTGCACCTGGGACACGTGCCCTCCACGAATCTATCGGCGAGAAATCGATCGCAGAATTCGCAGTGCAACTGCTCCACGCTCTCGTTCAATATGTACCCTTGCGACTTGATCTTCAGGAAAAACGATTGAACAATTCTGAAAGAGAAAGTTACAGTATAATGTGGGAGAATCGAGGGAAGGGGGCGAGAATAGAATTGCTCGTGAAGATATCCCTACTCCGTCTGCTCGGGCGTAGTGGTGCGTCCGAAATAGTCGAATCCAATGCCGAACCAGCGATAAACATCGTTGTGTATATCGAAGAACTTGTCGCAGATAATTTGAGGAGTAGTTTTCTCTTGCAGGGCTTTCGCTTCGGTCGCAGTGCCGTACTCGTCGGTGCCGCTGAAAATTGATATCACTTCGGTTAAAATATCACCGATACATATATTTTACATGATTAAAGAAGCGAAATTGATTACCTTATGTAGAGGGTGTTGTAATTCCTTTGTCTGCAATATCTGAAGGAAACAAGTCGAGATATTACATATCAAAGTAGAAAGTAATGTAAGAGATATATGTACCCCTGTACGAACCTTGCAAAGATGTCGGCTGAGAGAACGCAACCGATGATATTCCCCAAATGAGGAACATTATTTACATAAGGAAGAGCCGATGTCACTAATACATTCCTCTCGCCTTTCTTGGGCAGTCTAAAGACATAAGATGTTGTCAATTCGACTCGCATTTATGCTCACACAGATATGTTTAATTTATTCAACTCACATTGGGTATGAACTTTCCTTGACTTCTGGATATCGTCGAGTGAACCAAATATTCATCACACTGCGTACTTCTTCTTGACTAACAGTTTCCATCTCCTTTTCCTTGGTAGGACTAATCTGAAGACATTTAGGTTTGCATATGGAGCAGGAAACAGATAAGGAGAAGGAAAAAGATAACAGAAATTTTCATGATTTCGAAACACTTACGTCACTTAATAATGACTCTTGACGAACTTGGGCATTTGTAACTGCATTGACAGGAAACCATGAAGCAGCTTCTATGCTTGCAATTGCTTTTGCACCTCTCACCAAGTCAAATTCTTTAATAGATTCCTATATATTTAATGTATATTAATCATATGAGTTATATTAATATTATATTATTAGTTATATTATATAATTACATGAGTTATATTATATCCTTATTATATATTACATGTTATTTACATATTATATTATATATTAATTATATGATTAATTATATCAATATATTCATAAAACTATGCATACTCAGCTACAACTAGTTGCATGATGACACTTTACCTGAATAACTGGTTGCTGCTCCATGTTAGTCAGCCAGTGAACGATATTTAGCAACTGTGCTGAAATATCTTTGCATTCTGCAAATAATAGAGTACTCCACAAGCTAACCCAAATAGAAATATCTGCTGGTGATAAATAACTACTTGTCTAAAAATCAAAAGTTTGAATAGAAACCGATAGATGTGGCAGGTGAAAGAATATAATATTTGTGTCAAAGTATCGTATTATTATTTTTTACCTCGATTAAGTACTGCTTATTTTTTAATTCACTATTGAGATCTTTGAACAAAGACAATAAGTCCTTGGATGAAGTTTTTCCACTTGCATAACTTAATATTGCTGGCTGTAAAAGACTCATGATTAAATTACAAATTCTGCTTCAGGCATGCTTCCTATATTAAGTAATAATAATATTGTACCTGTAATTGAGAAATTTCCCATTCCAACCACTTATTATTAAGAATCTCTAATTCAGCGGCTACAGGCAACAGCAAGCGTAACGCCGAGGAGACACTGAATAAGGATAATCCTGACGGCGTAGTTAACGTCGGCAAGCGTCCTAGGAAAGCGTCTGTGCATCATGTAATACATGTAAGTATTGCATGATATATTCGTGAGAAGGAATTGTTAAAGAAATACCGCTTAAATCAACTAACAATGATATTCGGAAAGAGAATACGCATAATTTATCTCTGTGGTAAAAAAATATAATGATGTGTGCTGATTCTATCAAAAGTTCATGCAATGATAAGAACTACTGGTTCGAGAAGTGAGACAAGGTTGATGGACTCACCTTTGGGCTCCACGATTTTAACGGTGACAAGTTCTTGGGCTAATTTAGCCGCGATGATTAGTTTTAACGCGTTTGGGTTGCCCTGGTTCGTTGAGACGTTCATCGTTACCATAAATTAATAAATACGGCAATAAATAGGAAAATATGTTAGTGCACAACCACGAGCGACTCGTGAGCGACAGGAAGCAAAACGCTCATGAAGATAAAGCCCACCTTCCACGTGGGCATTGAAGCACGTTTACGTCATATCGCACGTGTGTCGAGCGCCAATCGAATGTAGGACGACTTGATTACTTTTTACTTGAGTACAGAGAAACCAGAACCTAATGGCTTCTGCCCACAGGACGCGACAACGCTTGCCGCGTGGCGGAAGTTCGCGTGGTAGCTAATAAACTTCTGATTCTTACCGAAAAACGACATGTTGATTGGCTACTACACGAACTTCCGCCGCGCGGCAGCGTCGCCGCGTCCTGTGGACAGAAACCAATCAGAATTGTGAAATCCTCCTTGCGTTTATTTCTTTCGACTTCTATGTAAAGAAAATCAGTTACACGTACATCTAGAATGTAGCCGATAAGTAAATGTGAAAAGCTTATAATTATAATTGAAGTAACCTGTGCGGGAGTGGTATAAAGTTAAAAATACGTTGGAAAAGTAGTTGTATAAAATTAAAGATATCTCTATTAGAGATTATTTTTTAACGACACTTAATGGAATATTTATCTCTGTCATTGTATAGAACAATGATATCAAATAAAAATATAAATTTGTTAATTTTTGATCGATCAATCACTTTGTATAATAAAATCTAATTTAATCCTCTAATATCATTTAATATTTTCCACCTCTTTAGCAGCTCTGAATAGCAGAATAAATAACAAGTGTTCAGTTGTTTTTTTATGTTAATGTATGTACATAATACTCATTTCTCATAAGAAAAAATATGGCGTAGGTAGATGTAATTTTTTGCTTGAAAGCTTCCTTTGTAGGATAAATTGTAGCCGAAATTTTATATTTTAATGTCAAATACAGAATTTAGAGATATCAACTTATGGATATTAATACATGTGTACAGATATACGATAAAATAAATAAGATTTGCAAACTTAGAACTATCAAAGGTAAGAACAAAACATTCTGCATGCTTATTCACATTGACTGTATTATGTCTCTTTCTTAATTTGTTGAAGTTTTATAATTTCTCCGAGTAATCTATTTGTCTTTTCTCTCTGTTGGTTAGCCTGCACTCTCTCCTTTTCTGCTCGTGCATATGCCTCCTTCTGCATGTCTCGCATCTCCATGAATACTTGTAGGAGTTTGTGTTGCACGTCACTGGAACCTTTGCTCTTACTTTCCATTTTGGTGGTTAAGGTCTTTAATGTACGCTGACAGCTTTGTAGACTGTCGATCATTCTTTTCATTTGTGTTTCTAATCTGACGATTTCAGAGATACCAAGCTTACTGAAATGTTAGAGTTTAACAATGACCATAGAATTCTTAATAAAAATGCCTTTTCATGCCTGTTCCTACCACTATGGTTTAAATTTAATCGATGAATGTCCACGTTCAGCAGAATGTTTGTTTTAACTGTTGAAAGTCTTCCGTCCTGAGAATGGATTATTTTTCTAGATCTAAACGAAAACTTCCAACAATTACAAAATAAACGTTCTGTCGAATGTGGCCATTAATTCGATGGATTGGCCAATTAGCTAAACTCATCAATGATTGGTCAATTCTGTTGAGTTAACCGTCGATCAGATTTAAACTATGATGGTAGGAACAGACATTAGTCTGATTGATTTTATCTCTTGAATTTCTTTGAGAAAACATTGAGAACTACTTCAATAAATTCATTTTGAACAATTTCGACAAGATATTAGAAGAAAAAAAAACCTCTCTGTGCTCTCTGCATTTTCTTCTCCATTGGCCTCCACATCAGATCCATGCATTTCAGGCACTAAATGCCTGGCAGAGAAAATTTCATCGAGATCCCTGCAGAAAATCTGATTATATTTATCAGAAGTTAAATCACCTTGCAGACTCCTTCGACAGAACAAACTTACTGTTCATAACTGCAAATATACCTTCCTCTCCCGGTTCGTCTGTTACTTATTATCATATTCTTATAAGCACGTTTGAGCGTTTTGAATCGGTTTTCTACTTGTAAAGGGGTTACATTAAAACCATTTTCTTGTAGGTTCTTAGATATTTCCTGATATGCAAGTTTCATGTTTTTCAATTTTCGATTCTTCACAAGCTCCCTCTTGAGCTTATACTCCTTCAGGAAGATTTTTGTAGAGGCATCGCACCAAGGAAAAACTGCATTCCCACTTTTACTCGTCGATGGTGTGCCCATACTGACTTTATAATTTTCACTGTCATTCTCATTATCATTTTCAGTTTCAACGATAGGATCAATTTCACTCGTTTCCCATCCTGGATATACATCGATAAATATATCTTTGCCGTTAACATTAAAACACATTTGTTCCGCCTTCTCATCTATTTCTGAAAGATGTAGTTGGAAGGCTATGCTCTCGTCTGCAGATATACAGATAAACTGGTTTAACGATTATCAATATATTATTCATAACTTATTTATCGTCATAACAAGCATTAACAAGAAGAGCAATAAGTACAGCGAAATAGTAGAATACACTGTGATCATACATAGTACATTATTGTATGATTACCTTCACATGTTATTGTGATAAAGCCATTGTTGTCTATGATTATTTTGCCCTCCTCGTCGCGTTTAACGTAGCCCTTCATATTAGTCGGATAGATGATCTAAGGTATATAGCTGGTATTGATGCAGTCCAATATGCGTTACAATATCCAGCAGGGCAGTCGACGTGACACCCTCGACTCTGGTTTTTCTCACCCGGTTAAATCCCGGGTTTTGTTTTGATCCAAAATCGCGATGTGTCTTATTTCGCGCTTTATTCCATTGCACCTTTTGCACCTCTGATATTCGGCCGCAGAAAGTGTAAGAAGTGCAGCGGTTGTAAATATATGTATGATAATGGAGGTTACACCGTGCCGGCCAGAACGTGCGTCGTACTTTAACAGTAAGGAGGCGGACGGACAGGAGAGGGAGCGCCGAGTGGGAGAGAAATATTCTTGATCCCGAAGCTTTTACCTCCAACGTGCACACTACCTTCGTCACCTCGGCAACGATCGTGGCGCCATCGAATGTTACCAACGATCTGTTTATTGAGGTGAAATTGGTAAAACAGATCTCTAATCTAATCGTCAATATATTCGTATATTATTTTCATACATGAATTAATATTGAAGAAATATGATACCTCTATGAAGCGAGAATAAGAGTAAGAAACGACGAAGCGGATAAGACCGTTGCCGAGCAAAAGCACAAAAAAAAATTCCACCATCGCTTTTGTATCAAACGCGTGATTGGTGGATTTGTTCATGCGTACGCGCCTCGTTGATCCATCTGGGTTAGCCTTTAAGTTCCATCACGATGAAAATATTCTGAACGGCATGGCCGCTCGCTGAGGACAGCTGTCAAAAGTTTGGAAGTTAGAGAGTGTCCTGGTACGCCGATAACGCCGTAGGATACTGGAATATCCTCGTGGAAAAGCGACTGACCGTTCCGCAGGGGACCAAGGAGAAGGATGTTAACGGCGGCTGCGAACACATTGTCGAATAACGGCGGGTCTTACAGCAATGAGAGACCGTCGAGCGCGGGTGACGCGGATCTCGCGACGGATCCCGCCTCCGGTGGATTTTTCCACTCTGATTATAAGAAGTAATCAATCTAATGTTTGCTTATCTACGACGATATGGAAGATAGCTTGTAAAGTTACGAAATCGTGTGATTGGAAATTAATTCTGGGCACGTCGAACTCTTCCTTCGCTGTGAACGTTGATAATGAGATTTGTATTTTTTATTTTTTTAATTATCTCTCCTGCGAATGTAGCTAGAATCGATGTAACGCAGTTTCGAAAGAGCTATTTCTAGCTGTTGTCAAAAGTGTGGTTTTCGAAGAAATATTCTGAACGAATCGAACTTTCTCCACTGTGAATATCGATAATGAGATTCCCATTTTTAGTTGTATTCTCAGCAGATGTAACTAGAACCGATATAATGTGGTTTTAGAAAAGATATTTTGAGAAGCCATTACAGTTCTCAAGACAAAGTGAAAATTATAAAAATTAACAAATTCACTAGATATTGGCCAATGAAGTGATCAATATCCTAGTAAATTTCCTAATTTTTATAATTTTTATCTCACCTTGAGAACCCTAATACTTTTTCTAAACCTGCTGAACTTTCTCCAGTGTTAATGTTGATGAGACATTTTTAGTTAAATCTTCTGTAAATATAGCTGGAATCGATGCAACACAGTTCTAGAAAAGATATTCTAAACAGACTGAACTTTCTTTATTATAAACATCGATGAGATTCTCATTCTTAGTTATATCCTCAGTTAATATAGTTTTAAAATTGGTATGTGGCATAGTTCTAGGAGCAATAATTTGATAAAACTGTATTGTATATTTTAGGCATGAAGATCTAAAGGAGATGTTGGACAGTAACAAGGATGGGCTCAAATTAGAAGCCATGAAACGTATAATCGGGGTAATCACATATCTTTAATTCATTCGGTAGCGATGCCAATGCTAATTCACTCCTTTCTTCAGATGGTGGCAAAGGGAAGGGACGCATCAGAGCTGTTTCCAGCTGTTGTCAAGAATGTAGTGTCCAAGAACATTGAGGTAAAGAAGCTGGTGTATGTTTACCTGGTTCGTTATGCGGAAGGCCAGCAAGATCTCGCTCTTCTTTCCATATCGACGTTTCAAAGAGCCCTGAAGGACCCTAATCAGTTAATAAGAGCAAGTGCTCTAAGAGTACTGTCTAGCATACGAGTTCCTATGATAGTACCCATTGTGATGCTCGCCATTAAAGACTCAGCCAGCGACATGTCTCCGTATGTCCGAAAAACTGCTGCTCACGCAATCCCGAAATTATACTCGTTAGAACCTGAGCAGAAAGAGGAGCTGATAAGTGTGTTGGAGAAGCTGCTGTCCGACAAAACCACTCTCGTGGTGGGCTCTGCAGTAATGGCTTTCGAAGAAGTCTGTCCGGAGAGGATAGATCTCATCCATAAGAATTACCGAAAGTTGTGTAATTTATTGGTGGACGTCGACGAGTGGGGTCAAGTGGTTATCGTCAACATGCTCACCCGATACGCCAGAACGCAATTCGTCAATCCGAATACAGATGTAAGTCATGTGTGACAGTCGCCTCCTGTAGAAACGATGAAAAGCACTCTTCTAATTAATAAAGTTAATGATTAAGGAGAAAAGGGATGACTTTACAGAACCTAGAAGAGGACGATAATCGGCCGTTTTACGACTCCGATTCCGATTCCTCTAACAACAAGAAACCAAAGTTCACGTTAGATCCCGATCATCGTTTACTGCTGAGGAACACCAAGCCTTTGTTGCAAAGTCGTAACGCGTCCGTGGTAATGGCGGTCTCGCAATTATATCACCACGCAGCGCCCAGAAGCGAAGTTATGACCGCTGCGAAGGCACTGATCAGATTGCTGAGAGGGCACAGAGAAGTGCAAAGCATCGTGCTGCACTGTATCGCTAGCATTTCAATTACGAGAAAGGTAATGTAAGTATGGCGCTAAAACGCAATACGAATGAGCCTGTGGCAATTGATTTTACCTTACCAATGTCGTTTCCCACTGTGACCCCCTCAACTCACACTCCTCCACACGTTTAAATAGGGTATGTTCGAGCCTTTCCTGAAGTCGTTCTTCGTGCGTACTTCCGACCCCACTCACATCAAGCTCCTGAAGCTCGACATACTGACGAACCTAGCGACCGAGACCAGCATCAGCGTGATACTTCGAGAGTTTCAGACGTACATCTCGAGCAGCGACAAGGAATTCGTGGGCGCCAGCATACAGGCTATCGGCAGATGCGCGAGTAACATCAAGGAAGTGACCGACACGTGTCTCAACGGACTGGTTTCATTATTGAGCAATAGAGACGGTAAGCTTTCATTAACTTTCATTAATTATACAGGTTAAAGAGAAGCGTCCGGGGATTTTTGCAAGTATGCTGAATCGTTCACCGAGTTCGAGTACCATCTTGCATTATATTCTTTTATCTCCACGTGTACCGCGATATATTTTAGCGTACATTTCTCGCTTCAAACGTCGTCAAATAAAAACAACCATGGAGAGGACACAGGAGCCTTAAACAATTCTTTATCTCTTTACAGAGGCCATTGTGGCGGAGAGTGTTGTGGTGATAAAGAAGCTTCTGCAGACGCAGCCGAACGAGCACAAGGACATAATCGCTCACATGGCCAAGTTAATGGATTTCATCACCGTGCCGCAGGCCAGAGCTTCCATCCTGTGGCTCTTGGGTGAGTATTCCGACCGAGTTCCCAAAATAGCGCCGGATGTACTGCGGAAGATGGCGAAGAGCTTCGTGAACGAGCAGGACATAGTGAAACTGCAGACCCTGAATCTGGCGGTGAAGCTATGCCTGAACAATCCGACGCAGACGAAACCGTTCTGCCAGTACGTCTTCCAGCTCGCCAAGTACGATCAGAACTACGACATCAGGGATCGCGCCCGCTTCCTGCGGCACTTCATCTTCGACGACGAGACTGGCGCGAAGAAGCTGCCGCAGTTCGCGAAGAAGATCTTCCTCGCCCCGAAGCCGGCGCCAACTTTAACCTCCAGGTTCAAGGACTCAGAGTATCAGTTGGGCACTCTGTCCCATTACCTGGACATGCCGTGCGCGGGTTATCGGCAGTTACCGCCTTTCCCGGAAATCACGCAAGACCCGTCCGTGCGGGACGTCGCGCCAGCGATCATGCAAGAGCACAGTAGAGAGGAGAGATATGGTAGGAAGGAGAAGAAGGAGAAGAAGAGCAAGGAAAAGGAGAAGCCTTTCTACAGCGACGAAGAAAGCACTCCCGCTGAAGGTGAGCGGGAAGGAGTCTACAATGATTAACATTTTTGTCCGTTTCCACCGTCATGGTGTAAATCTAATCGACAAATCCGAGACATCGGTATGTAGAACCTTGAACCTGTCGCTATGTATAACGACTGTCACATACTTGTAGATTAGGTCATTCTGGACAAAAAAGGTCTTTTACCATTTTGCGAATAATTCGCAAATTTTTTAGTTATTAATTAACTCTTTAAGGCCCGCACGTCGATCCTATCAGAGTAAAATGTTGTAATTTACCGTCTTAAGGGACGTTTCTGAATCCGTTCCACGCCCTCACGAAGTTGGTGTGTGTTTTTCAATATCTTGATCTTTCAGAATCGGAGAATCAGTCGTCCAACGACTCCTCGTCCAACGAGTCGTCGGACGAGGACAGCGACTCCTCGGAGTACTCGAGCGAATCGGAGAAGTCCGAGACGGGCAGCGGGAAGAAGGACGAAACGAAGTCCGACGATTCCGAGAGCGAGTCATCTAGTAGCGAAGAATCGGACTCCGAGGAAGAGAGCGGTACTCAAGAGAGCGAAGAGGAAAAGCCGAAGGTCATTAAAAATGAGAAAGTGACGGAGAAGCCGAAAAGCAACTTCGACTTGCTGTTGGATTTGGATGACGGTCAGTTTAGCGGTTAATTGAAGAAGAAGGAGAAATTAATCAAATTCTCATTAAAGCATGTCTCTCTCTCTCTCTCTCTCTCTCTCTCTCTCTCTCTCTCTCTCTCAATGTCCAGTCGTTCCAATGACTCCCGTGATGACGCCCAGCCTCGGTGGCTTCCTCACTCCGATTAATCCAACGATCACGGACAACGTGCGCGAGGTGACGACATCCTACGTTCCGTTGACGAAGACCACTCTGTTGAACAGCATCACCGGGCACGGCCTGAAAGTCGAGTATAGATTCACGAGATCGCAACATCTAGTCAGTTCGAGTCTGGTCAGCGTCGAATTGACGTTCTTAAACGAAAGTAACAACGTCATGAAGGAGATCCAAGTGGGAAGCAAGGTGCGCGCGAAGGGATTCCGCGAGTTTGCGGCAGTACTTACGTGATCGTTATCAAACCTCGAGTTGAAATCTTTTGCGTTCTCCGCTCTTCTAGAATCTGCAGAAGGGAATGTTCATCCACGATTTCACGCAAATACCGTCGTTAGACGCGAACGCCACGCTATCCTCTACGTTAGGCGTTAATTTCAACGATTCCACTCAACCGGCGAATTTCAACATCGACTTCACGATCAACGACGAGAAGCACTCGTGCCCGGTCAGCGTCAAGGCGCCGATCGGGGAGATAATAAGGTCCGTGATCCTGCCCGAGGGCATGTTCAACACGGAGAAGGGCAAATTGAAGGGCATGAACGAGCACATAGCGAAGATACCGTATTCCGGGAACAAAAAAGTTCTTCCCCAAAAAGTCTTCGAGGCTGCGAACGTCGCGAGGATAGCCGACGAGGAGGAGATCATGCGGTAAGCAATTACGCGCGTGTATCCAATCGTAAATCCCAACAACGCATATCTTGTTAAACGATAGGTCATACGTCGAAGTCGGATGTCGGAACGCAGCACTGAAAGATGGCGAGTATAAACGCCAAATATAACTTTTGGTAACGATCTAATTAAACTTCGAATTACGGCCACTTTTTCCGATCTCACATCATCGGAAACGAATGCCTTCATTGGATCATCGGCTGCGTTTCGACAGATCAGACAGTTACATACGACTTGTCTAATGAGACTTGATATGTTTTCCATCCAAACGATTTGAGAGAAGGTTCAATTCTCGTAAGAAGCTGAGTTAACATTCACAGGTTCGCCGCTCATACTTTAGCGTCCAAGTCGTTGGTGCTGCTGACAATGAAGTTCGTCGAAGCCGAGCAACAATTGGAGATTTGCGTGAACTGTGAAAAAATGGTGATAGGATCGATTCTGTTGAACGAATTGAAAAGTCACTTGAAGTGAGGCACGTGCTGTTGCTTGCGGAACTAAACGAATACAGACGCGCGTATCGTGGCGCTTTTACGACACGAGAGAAAGTTCGAATACTCTTTGTTACGCGAAGGTAAACTCGCAGATATACCGCCGCATTTAATATTTCTACGATCATACCTAATATAATATCGGGTCAAATATATATCCCTCCGGGTAAGTGTGTACATATACACACTCACGTGTGCGTATATATATATATATATATATATATACATATATATATATATATATATGAACTATGTACAATTGATAATATATAAATATCCGTTACTCAACCTCCCTTTCACTTTTTCTCTCTTTCTCTCCCTATCTCTATCTCTCGCAATTACTGTTGTAACAAATTCTAATCGCTTTCTTCCGTCACAAGACTGCTCTCTTGACACGGCACCATATCAGTTGCTGCGACCCGACGATATCTGCGCAGTCCGATATCTCCCAAAAATGCAGACGATACTCCCTCTGACTCGTCAGGAACCTCTTCAAGACTACACAGAGAGAAAGAAAGAGAGAGGAATCGCCTGTATTATTCTCAGATATCAGAGCGACAAGCGTGGAGATTAGATACCTACTTCTCAACATGCCGCTCGAGATCGGCCTGGAGAAGCCGATGTCCTCGTTCGGGAAGCGCGCGGTCATGTCGGACAAGATCTCCGTGCCGAAGCCTCGGCTCCTGTACTCCGACCGGATGTACGCCGTATCCACCACGGGCATCCCACATCCCTGCCCCGTCGAAGACGCTTTCGTACCTGAGGGGAATCGACACGTCATCGCCGAAACATCGAGAGTATTTATATTCTTTTAAACGGTCCAGACTTCTGCGCGTTCACGATCACCTGCGAATTTCACCGTGTAGAATCCAACCGCCCTGCCTCCCTGCCACCTGAGTGACACGACGTCCAGCTTATCAGCCAGGGCGTACAGCGACTCGAATCTCTCCGGTCGAGGTGCGTCCGTGTCCGGGTAGACGACCTGGCTGAGCATATAGTAGAGCACCTTGTCACGATCCGTCCGAACCTCCCGCCATCCGTCCTCCGTCCGATCGTCATGGGTATCGTTAACGTCGACCACTTCGTCGTTTAGTGTTACGTCTATGAAGTGACCGCCGTCGGCGCAGTCTACGCGGCGCACATCGCCCTTTACGTCCAAGGTTCGCAGGTCGAGCCGGGTCACCGTCGTCGAGACGCGTCGTGCGCACCTACGCAAACCAATCGCGACGGTGAGGCGCCGCTTGAGTCCGCGGTGAAGAAAGTGGAGGGAAACGCGGGCAACAGTTTGTGTCTCGCAGGCGAGACGCTTTCGGAACGAAACGAGAAGCGTCACGGGATGCGTGAGATGTTACGTAATCGCAGTTACGGCCTCGACTAGTTTCGGCGATTAATAGCGCGGAGAAAGGAAAAACAGGAAACACGCGAGGTGAGCTGAATCACCACCTTGAGCATAACATCGCGTACAGCGGCGGGCGTAACAACGTAAATCCGAGCGGCGCCGTCGCGATAAGCGACAAACATTCGACTAGATTATCGTCCGGCCAAAGAAAATCAAGCTTATTGTGACTTGCCGATGAGTAACGGTGCCGACCTGTTATCGGTGACGTCTCTCGCGTGTCGTATCGCAACAAACGACTACTTCCGCAAATCTTCAACTGCGATACGCACGCGAATTCGATAAGGATTTATCGTTTGTAATTCTCCCGATTGCGCAAGAATCGAAGGTCGAGTCTTGAGATTTGTTTTTTAACCATCTGTTGAAATACATCTGTCTTTAAGCTGGGTATACACCAAGCGAACAGCGAGTGCAAATCTTCATTGTTACAGTTTGAAAATGTGTGAAGTAAAAGTGGGGTAAAGTACGACCTTAAAAATAGTTTTATTTTTCCTTACATTTCTTTTGAAAACTTGTCAGAACATTTTTTCCTCAACTTCGTAAATTCAGTCAATCTATATTAATTCCTTAAGGTAAGTTAAATTAATAAAATGAATTAAATTAAAATAAGTTAAAACTATATAAAATAAGTTAAAATTACAAAATAAGTCAAATTGCACACGAAACTTTGAATTAGTCACTAAACTGACTTGACTATAATATAATATATATTGCGGTCACATTTAATCAGAGTATTCTTCATATTTCTGGATCCATAAAGTGTGGTAAAATTCGGTTTGATGTAGAATGACCTTCTTCTGAGCATGGAGGTCTATCATGAAATAATATCAGATTTTCATTCTGTAATCGACATAACGGAAGATATTAAGGAATAAATAAATATGTACCAAGAAGGATACAGAAAACTGTGGCAGCGTCCTGTTTCGTATATGCATTCTGTTTCGAGTGTGTATCTTTCGGGATGAAGTCTTTGAACTTTACATACGGTTGATTACACCATAGCACCTCAAGCAAAGTTAGAACTTCCCGGCTCGTCAAGTATGCGTATTGCGATTTCTCGGTTGAACTGACAACAGAAACAATATCTTCATTGTAATATTGAAAAATGTAATTAATTAGAAATTAATATTTTAATCATTTTTAAGTGTCTCTTAAGAATAGATCACGCAATGAATAATATTTTCTTAAGTGGAAGATGCTTGCTCGCGAAAGTTGTCCAACGTGGCTTAGACGATTGTTATGTCCTATAATTAATAAGGAAAGAAAATATCAATATACCAAGAAGATAATGAAATTCTGTCTTTTGTTGTGGGGTGTATCTCCATTTTGTTCATTAGAACGTTTATATCTTCTAAGCTACTGTTAGTGTCTTCCACGTCTGCTTTCATCTCTCGATGCAATGGTTCGTCGATAACCCTGAAATAATTTTATAAATAATTAAGACATATCGGATTTGAAATATTGGGAAACTCGGAAAATTGCGATACCGGTAAAAGAAGGAAAAAAAAATAAAAACTTTCTAAGTTAGCATTGGAAATAAAGAATAAAGTTATTGCGATAGTTTTTTTGAAAAATTGGTTTCTCGGAGGAGATCATTAACCATGGAGCTTGAACAGGCATGACAGTACTGAGTTGCTCAGAAGAATGTTCTTCAGGCTCGACGAGCCTGCTTGTCATTAGCCCTGTACGATCCTCCGTTGTTTGTAATTCACGTATCTCTTCTCGAGCTGAAAGCGAAGATACACATTTATTCGTAATATCATGCTTTAACGAGAATGTTTGACGTCTGAGTATTTGAATATGGATCTGTCTCGTACATTGCATAAAAATAGGCGCGGCGTCTTCGTGTGTATTCTGGCATGGTCTTCTAGTGTGATTGACAAAAAGATTAAGCAAAGCTTGAGCGCATCGTGGTGAATGCGAAGGCCGTTTCATGAGGTCGACAGACGATATTACGCGTACATTCGGTTTCTCCATTTTCTGAAAGTATCATCCGTAGAACGCCAATTAAAGTGCGAAATAGAGTGCTGATTATCTTTGGAAGTTCCTTGGGATTAGGATGTTTGAAGTATTATTTCTTGGATTTCCAGAGTTCCTCGGGTCTGTACTATTCTACGACTCAATGCAGTTTGAAAACTTACTACGCATCCAAAATTTATATTTTCATGCCATTTCATTAACACCGCGTTTGTTTTGACTATTTTCTTATCGATAATTAAATGTTTCTTCTTTATCACAAATCCGTCCAAGCTCGAGTATAAAGATTCCAGCTCTATGTCCATATCCTTGTCTGTAACATGCTCTTCTAGAGGAGCAGGAGCTACAATTGCAGTACCTGCATTAGGTAACTCATCCTTCTCCAATGATATCTATAAAATAATATGTAGAGAAGTTAAATAAGTATTATATGGAGAGAATATTAAAAAATATATAATGTGTATAGTGTAATAGTCATTCAAGAAACTGTTTAGACTGCTTTCCAATGACAATGAACTAATGGCAACAAACAGTATAGTTATAAATTAATAAGTACGCGTCTTCTCTTTGTTGGTGTTTCCACCTGCGGTTGACGTGGCTGTCGTTTTTGTGGAGTAGAAGGCAACTTTCCCTTAGACTTATCTATTATCTTCGATGCATCCACAAGCATTGGACTTGGAAGTGCACGAGGTGATTGCATCTCTCGATAGATCTCTGTTAAAAAAAAAATATGAAAATTCATATATATATTTCAAATTATGAAATTTAACTTTTAAAAGTTACTTTTGCACTATATTGGAATACAAGCCAATATTATTTTCAACTGTTTAAGCGTTATTAATGTTGCTAGTTGGGAAAATTACTTTCAAAATCAAGATAATAAAATCAAGATAAAAATCAAGATAATTGGAAATAGGTATAAAAAATCCTACTGCTTGAAATTTCTACGTCAGCTACCATCTCTGTATCATTTCTTCGCTCACTGTTGTCTGTGATCTGCATCATTTCACTGCATAACAAAACAAACACATTCTATTAAATGTTATATCTCAAAATTAGCTTGTTGCTATAAGCTAATTTTGAGAACAAAGTAAAACGACAAAGAAGATAAGGATATTGTTTTAGTTGGATGTTACACTTGGGCATATTGTTACTGTTTACGAAGGATTGAATTTTTTTATACTGGGATTAGGAAGTTGTTATGGAAGATATAGGAGTCACAGGGACTAACAGTGTCATATCACTGATTATATATTCAAGCATAAAGTCCAGCTCCTGGTTCAATACACCAAAATTCAGGCATGCTGCATCTTGCATCTGTGTGAATAAGAAAGTTTAAAATACATTAAGCAGGAATGTCAAGAGGATTTGGAAAAGAGGAACATATATATTTCAGAATCTAGGAATTTATGGACGCAGGTTTTGGACAAGATATTTTTCTTAGTATACCATCGTCGAATTAGTTCATATGAAATACACTTACAATCACTTCCAGTCTGCCATCAGGAAGTTCACCTGGAAGGATATGCAAGTCTTCTTTCATCTGAAAATCAAGTTTTTGTTCCACTAAGGAAAACTGAATTTCTTGCAAGGTATCAAGAACTCTCACAGCATCGAAGTTTTCCACTAATCTCTCTTCTGTGGTGTGATCAAGTATCTTCCATATTTTAAAAAGTTCTTCTGAAAAATAGTAAGAATTAAAAGTAACAATATATAAAGTATATCCAGCTAAATATTTATATTAAATAATTTGAGGCATAAAGAAATATTGAAATAAATATTAAACCCACTTTGATAGTATATAATTTGATAAGAAAAAATTCTTGTTACGCCATACATCAGTTGCGATGACAGATATAAACTGAACCTCTTTGTTTTGCTACTACGTAACTGTACAGCTCGCAAAATCTCTTCACTAACAATGTAAACAACGAGATGTCAGATATTGGAGAACCAACATTATTTTATAAAAATTTGTAAATAATGTACCATGTCATTATAATATTTATTTTTTTTATAGCAGCAAAGTTGTAGTGCTTCTTAAACGACTTTTCACTACATGTTGCAGCAAGCCAGCAAGGTGTTAGTTTACCCTTACTTGGATGAGACAACAAATAAGCTGGATAAAACATCTGTTAAATGACAGATTGTGTTGATAAGAAATGTAAATAACCATGTAACAAAAGATTATAATATAAAATATGAACATTTAAAATAGATTATAATAATAGTAAAATCTTTATGACAAAAGAATACCTTAATGCAATTTATCAATGTAGTTTTGTCGTTAAACAATTAACGCGCTCAATAGTATGAATGTACAATTGGAGATCTAATTGATGAAACTTTCGATATTTCAGAAGTAACTCAGAAGTAATTGTCTTTTGATTCTAACGGTCGTTGGAATTCAAGTAGATTGAATTCAAATGCAGATATCAGTGTTACCAATATGTAAAAAATATAATGTATCGAATAGAAAAGATTTAGTAAATTTAGGGCGCAATCCCATATGGTGTTTTCGATTTGCTGGAGTACGTTCAGAAATCCTGTTCAACAAGTGAAGTAATTCTTATTAACCAATCATGATGAAGAAATCTTCGCTCTTTCTATTTTGATTCTATTTTGATCAATTAAATACTACTCTATCAGTCTAAGAAAATTTCTGAACGCAGTGTGGGGGTCAATGGTGTATCTCGAAACGTAATAAGAATTATAAAAGTGAAAATTATAAAAATTCATTAGGCGTTGATTAATGATTGTTAACAATTATTTATAATTATATAATTTAAAATAAAATGTACGATGTATATCTGTGTACTATACAGTGGTTTTATGGAAAAAAGGAAAATATTTCCTATAATTGTGTAAAATTCTTTATGAAGAAATATTACAAAATCGCATATAGATCCCTAGTAGCAGCATCCCTAGTAGCTTTATTGGCGTTATATTAACCAATATTGGCCCATATTGAGCCAATATAATGCCAATGTAATGCCAATGAAGTGTGCTACTGGAGGTGGTTTGCTGAGAATCTCAAAGCTCTCTTAGGTTTCAGCGCGATAACTCTGGTATGATGCATTTGAAAGCTTAGAAAAATTCGAATATTCAAATGATATCAAATAGCAAACAAATGATGTTAATTATCACCGACATACCACTACTCCTCGATAAGGCGTGCTATTTCTAATTGCCCGTGATGCCTGCACCCGGTACGAATGCCGATAAGAAGCAGTTGAGTGCACGATTGCGCGTATCGCACACGTAAGTTTCCAATACGGAATGCAACTATATTTCTTATATCTTCCGTCACGTTAGGAGTCGAAAGTTCGCGCTCTTATGGTTCTCATTGCACCGCGCGGAAAATTGAACTCTTCCCGTCGAGAAGGAGAGATTAACAGCTGTTATTGAATTTTTGCGGCGTGGCCATTAGCGATGGAAACGTTCCAATTAACCGCGGAGGCTTCTTCTTCTCCCTCTTCTTTGTATAACAGCTTCGAAATTCGGCTCTTGGTTTGAATCTGGATTCTTCTGGGCTTGGTTCCACCTCTGCGTAAGCTTTAGGCAAATATCCTGCTCGGTGTTTCTGCCGCCAATTTGCTGTCAAGCTTCGGCTGTATTCCGATATCCGATGCCAATATTAAAAAAAACTAAGGTATACGTATCGTAAACAAATTAATTTTTAATACTGACATTGAATTTTGGAACGCAGCCTACTGGTCTGTTCTTTTTAGCTGCGCTGCTGAGCCGGTGCAATAAGTAGAGTGAAATAAGATATACTTATCTCATTCAAATTTATAGCACCAGTTCAGTAGTGCAACTAAAAAGAACAGACTATATGTCAGCAGAATTTGCCAATAGACACAGAATTAAATGTGGGCACACGGCTACGGATCTGTCATGGTATTCTGATCGAATCTGCCGTCAATCTGTCGGCATGCTGTCAACATTTTGCTTATTGAAAGTTAGATTTCCTCTCTTAGTTTCATATTATAAAATTACAACGTAACGCAGCAGAGGCCCTCGATCGTATAAATGGCCGTCATATCGGCGGAACACAAGCAGATAAGGAATCTACTTGACGGAAGAATCATAATTACCACAACAATCATCGCGATGATATTCCCAGGAACTCGCGATTCGCATATTGTTAATACGTTCATCGGATAACGAGCGTTGTGAGTAGTTACGGGCCGCGCATGCGCATCGGCGAGCGCGCGCTCCGTTCAATCGCCGAGGGTGCAGGAAGGTGCACTGAGAATGCGGTGGAAACAGCTGAGTCCCGTTACTCATCGTCGTCCGCGACACGGAACGTATGTACGCACCGCGGTAGACCCGTTGGTGTCTAGCATCGCGTCTTGTCTCGTTGCATTTGACATGTCGCAGACGCGTCGATGTGAGCGCAACATCGCGCGCCCGCACGCGCGTATATACGCTCCCGCACGCGTCAGGTCGTCCAGTCGGCCGTCGTCGCGCCGGAGTCGTCTTTCGGCGCGTTGAGGGAACGCCAGCTCGTCGCCGACAACGTAGCGGACTGTCACGCGCCTGGTGTGTGTGCACGTGTGTGTGTGTGTGTGTGCGCTGCTGGTGTGATTGAGTGCGAGACAGCGCGCGTCACGACGCCGCCGCGCGCGTCCCGATGTCCTCGTCGTCGCGGCCCGGCGAGCACGATTACCAGCGATTTGACGACAATGACACGAGCCTGCCGCTCGAACAGGAGATCTCCAACGGCTCGAGCCGACGTGAGTCGTCCCGTCTTTGTATTCGTCGTTCTCCCGGATCCACCTACTGTCCTAATTCCCTGGAGCTGATCTGATAACGAGATTACGAAACACGGCCTCTCGCGGCTGGAGCGACGCGCGTTCTCTCTAATTAGAGAAACAATACATGTGTAATACACGCGTTTTTCTATGAAGTGGATGTGTGTTGTAAGGAGGAATCTCGGTTCCGTGAGACGGGCGTTGACAGCCCGTCGTTAGCTGTCATTCGTGGCTTCTCTCATGGAAGAGTCGTGCGCGCTTGTGCAACGGTTGTTCAGTCGGGATTTGCTTTATTATATCTGGAGCATTTGTAAAGATGCTGATTTATGAAAATGTGCTTATATATATTTATATGTATGTATGTATGTATATATATATGTATGTATGTATGTATATATATATATATATGTATGTATGTATGTATGTATGTATTAGGTCCATATTCTAAATTCATTTTTATCGATGAAAGTATCCCTAAAAGTATCTTAGGAATCCAGTTGGCTGAAAGGCCGCGTTTAAGGCATTTTTATTTTCAAACTTTATTTTTAAAGCGAGTGCAAAATATGAATCTTAATATATTGATTGTATGCGGCTTCCCATGGAAGTAATATTGTGAGAGCTTACTGATATTGAGGATGAATACAAAGTTTCGTGTTTTCTTGTAGAATACGGCTCTATGCTGTCCTCACCATCCACAGAGAGTCACGTCAGGTCGTCGTTTGACACTGCTAACAACACTACTGAGCTGAATAGTAAATATGAAGCGACCGATACAGGAACCGGAAGCATGACTGAGAATGTAATGTTCACCGCACGCGACGCATCTCCGGACGTGGACATGCACTGGGAGATGAATTACCATGAAGCAGCAATATTCTTAGAGGTAATTCATGCATCGATCTTGCACATATCTGTTTCGACCGGCGATATTTGCTCATTAGTGCGCGGAAACGTGTGCATATGCACGAGCCAAAGATTGCGTTCAGTTCATTGTATCAATTATTTTTTCAAGGATACCTATTATGTTTTCCACTACTGCATATATACATAACATGTGTTACGTAATATTCAGAGGCATGTTTCTCTGCGCATTGTGCGAGTGTCAAGCTATTAAATACTATTGCGTTGTATGACAACTTAACTTACAATAAGTATTTTGGTAAAAATAAGTGATTTTATAAGAAACGATTTTAATTGGATTGTAATATGTATTCTCCAATTGTAATGCTAACTCGAGCGTTTGCGAACCCTTTCAGGAAGGTAGGAACAATGAAAAATTCGATTCTCATCCGAGGCATCCCGAGGATTTGCCGGCGTATCTCTTGGTTCACAACAGGTGGTACAATGGATTGGATTTACTGACTTCACTGATCCTTCTGTCTCTGGCGTTCGTTGAGGCGCCTGCTTTGCCACTGTTTAGAGTACGCGTTTGTACATTTGTAATGTAAAAAATACATGTCGTACAATTTAATTCATTCAGACACATATCGTCGTTCATACGCGTTGCTTCTCAGGTGCCGGTCTGGATGCACGGTTCGATCGAATTGCTCGCCTTGATTACCATCGGCGTGCAACTGGCTTTGAAGTTGAGATGGACCGGCTGGGCCACATTGCTGAAGCACAAACGTACGACGCTGAAGGTAATAAGAGGAAGGAACTTGAGCGCTACGCTACGGCGCCGAGAAGGCGAAGAACAATGAGCCCGGCTAGAAAGAGAAAGAGAGATATTCATTGTTGAATATTGAAAACAGAATATTTGCATAATCAGATACGAATTGTTGCTCGTCCCAACAGTTGTCACCGATAATTATTCACGCTTATTACACAACGGTGCAGGAGTATCAGACAAGTAATCACGCATTCATTATCGATCAACGACCGCATCATCGTGATGAGTAATTGATGCTGCAATGAATATGCAATGACTTATTAGCTTACTTACATAATGAGCTATTAAATTACGAATACAATGTCATACGCATTGCGGCGTGAAAACTCCTCGTGAATTCAATTCGAACGAGCGGAAGATAATACGCGACGCCGGCACACGCGAGAACCGGGGATGTTAATCGGATCTTATCGATTTCCTAACGTCAACGTCCACGCACGTCCACACATCCGTGAATTTCCCTTTGTTACAGTGCGTCACGCTGGCCATCATGTTTCTCGAGGCCCTGACCGTCCTGGTGCGGCAATCCTCGCATTTCCGCGTGACGCGCGCGCTAAGGCCGATTTTTCTGATCGACACCAAATACTGCGGAGGCGTGAGGAGATTCGTGCGGCAGATACTCCTCACGCTGCCGCCCATCCTGGACATGCTCGGCCTCCTGTTCTTCTTGATCACCGTGTACATGACGTTGGGCTACTACATGTTCAGCGAGATGAACCGGAACTTTTCCACGTTGCAAGACAGTTTCGTCAGTCTCTTCGTTCTGCTCACCACCGCCAAGTGAGTACGGGCCGCGCGAGGACCATTCTGATCGGCGATACTATGCAAAGAGGAATCTCTAATTAACGTCTATCACAACTCCCGCAGTTTCCCGGACGTAATGATGCCGTCGTACTCGCGGAACAAGTGGTACGCGATATACTTCGTGTCTTATTTGTGCACGATGCTGTACGTGATGATGAACCTGATGCTGGCGGTGGTGAACGAGACGTTCACGTTCCGCGAGCGTGACAAGTTCAAGAAGCTGTTCCTGCACAAGAGGAAAGCGTGCCAGCACGCTTTCAGGCTCTTAGTCTCCCGACAGAACCCCGACAAGATGCGATTCCGCCAGTTCGACGGCCTGATGCGCTACTACGCGCCGAACAAATGTGTGTATACAGGATTAACGTTGTCCCCTTTCTAGTAGAATACAGTAGCTTGTACCGAACGCGCGCTGTAACGACGCTCTCATGCAGCTAATGCGCTTATGCGACACGCTTAGAAAGCAGAAAGAGAGCGGGTTCGACGTTACGCGAACGGCACCACCTTATGCAACTCGTATACACGGCGTCATGTCTGCCTTACCACTTCCCAGATCGGAAATTGCATGATTTTCATGTAATTTACATGTATGCACATAAGATCGAAATCGTTATAATCAGAGGCATTTGAATCCTACCGTTGTAATTAAGATTCGCTTATACGATTTTCGATCTTACGCATACCTGCATAAGAGTGAAAATCCCGTAACTCTCGATCTAGCGATCAATAAGGCGTGCATGAAGCAGTGTGTCCTAATGACTTGACAATATCTGCAACGACTGTGTATGCATTTTATAGCCACGAGAGACATTGTATTAATGTTTTGTCACATGAACGTGTCGGGCAGTGGTGCCTTGAATTGCGAGGAATTCCTGTCGATTTATGACACGACGACACTCCAATGGGAATTGCAATACTCTAACATACCGTGGTACCGCACCACGTGGTGGCCCCTGCAAGTGTTATGCACGGGCGCTCACATCGCCATCAAATGGCCGTATTTCGAGACGCTAGTGTGTGAGTATACATGCGTGATGCGTGTCAATTTATTGCATGCTCCTTGATCTTATAGTCCGTGATCTCTCGCAGATGTGACCATTATCGGCAATTGCGTCGCTATAATAGCGAGGATAATAGAGCCGAGCGATAGTCTCGAGGAGTCGGCACACGGATTCGCCGCTTCCTGGGACACGTTGGTCTTCGGAGGAAGTGAGTGAGCGTTTCTCCCGCGAGATCCTAGTAGATTGGAGAGTCTCGTGGAAGAGTTCCCTTCAAGTTCTTCCCAAGCATGCTAACATATACGCATTTGCAGTATTCGTGGCCGAAGCATTGTCGAAGGTATTGGCTCTCGGTGTGAGGCATTACTTGAGCTCCGGATGGAATCTCTTCGATTTGGGAACGTCGGTGATGATGCTCGTCGCCGCGTGCGCCCTCATCTTATTCCCATCGGCCACGTTCTTGGTTCTGTTTCGACCTCTCCGAACGTTGAGACTGTTCAAGATAAAGAAACGCTACCGGGACGTCTTCGGCACCCTCGTCATCTTGTCTCCGCAGATGTGCTCGACGGCGATTGTCATGCTGGTACTGTACTACTTCTTTGCGATCATCGGTATGGAAATGTTCGCAGGATACGATATGCGCAACTGCTGCAAGTAAGTTTCCAATTTTAAGTCCGTAACATCTCGAGAGTGACTCGGCGTTTATTCGATTAAAAGATTCAGTCTAATAATTCAGGCATGACGAAACATATTATTGACAAATGATCCCCAAAAAACCGACAATAATCGGCACGAACACAATTGACTTTGTTTTCTTTAAATTGGATATTACTGAATATTATTGAATTTTATTTGAATATTATTTTGAAGAAGTTAACTAGTCTGTTCTAAATGAAAAAACCTGTAATTTAAATATCCTTTTTATTTCTAAAATTTGTTTTTGTTTAAGAGGAAAATCTGGGATATTCTAATATCCGGGGAATATATTGCAATGTAGATTAATTGCATTCAAGTATTGTTTTCATTTTATTTCATTAAACGCGTTTGCAAAATACAGAATTTAATTTCTGTTTTTTTTTTTTTAAGAATTTTATTATATTTGAATATAACTAAGATTTTGACTAAGAATTTGATTTGAATAATTGCATTGAAAGCGATCTAATGATTGAGTTTTAACTGATGCTTCAAGATAACCTCCTCTCCTTTTCTCGACAGAAATACGACCGTCGAAGATTTCTACGAGTATTCAGCTAATGGCAGCACGGCACTGGGATATTACTATCTCAATACATTCGATAATCTCATAGCAAGCGGCATGACGCTCTTCGAATTGACGGTCGTTAACAATTGGTTCATACTAATGAACGCGTATGCGTTCACCACAGGGATGTACACGAGGATATATTTCATGATATTCTACCTGGTAACTATGATCGTATTGACTATCGTAGTATCCAGTTTCCTCGAGGCTTTCCGATTTAGGATACAGTATAAGAAGTCGACTTCGAAACACGACGGTAAGCACTATGCGGATCCGGCTGACGTTCGCGATTTTTTCGCGCATATGTATACATCTTTATTATATCTTCCCTTTCAGAAGAAAAGATGCTTCACGAGGAAGTGGAATTAAAGTGGAACGAGCTGCAGTGCATAATCGAGGACTTCCAGACGCTGGAAAACCTGCGGAACGCCTTGGTCGTCGGCGGAAGCACCATGTTCGTTGGCTCGCGACCGCGAACGCGAGAAGTTCTGCAGCGGAAGATGTACACGCACGAGATAAACGAGTGGGTGGCGGAGGCTAAGCTGGAGGAGAGGCAGTACGTATCCAGCTTGACGCACGAGGGCGGAGGCGATGACGGCAACACCGACACCGACCGTCTAATGTTGAACGGCAATTTGCGGCATCAAGCAAGTAACAGTATATGTGCTCGGTAAAAATATCGATACTGACACATATAACTGAGATCATGAATTTAATTTATAATTCTCGCTTAAACATTCTGAACAGAACGCACTGACGAGACGATACTAAAGACCGTAGGCAAATTTTTGTGCGTGTCGAGGGGCCCTTCCTGAAGGTAATACCGGAGGTAATTCAAGAAGGATGACATTACCGACGATTTTTATTCATTTGATATATTTAGATATTTGTGGTATAATTGGTATTAATTTTAAAATTTGCGATTATGATGTTCCATCGATACAATGAAGTGTATTCAACATTCTTGTGAAACTGCATTTTTGCAGTTATCATTTACGCTCGTTCGACACTAATTTACCGCAAATTTATCGACTGGAGGTTATTGGACAGCGAAATCTTCACGCAAAATTCCGTGAAATCAATGGGTCTTGATTATTACCTCGGTCGATGCAGAATATGAATGCATTCGTGAAAATTCATTTATCGTTTATTCATTACACAGCAAGAGCGGCTTGTTTAGATATTTAAATGACTTGAATATGTACATGTATGTAGGGGGGATTGATGCACAGCAAATTAGGTGGCAGATCTTTTTCTCTTTTAGTGATAATATAGCGGAGTATTTTTTGGTGATTTATAGCGACAGTGGATAGTCTTCAAATTTTTTAACGAATGACGTTAACTTCCTTTATATATTTTATATCATATAAGCTAGCTCGCGATTGAAAAATGGTAGAAAAATGGTCGTAAAAAAGAAAGATTTCGTCTTAGAGAAATTAATCTTTACTTAGGAATGTGTTAATCTCGTCGCGACATCGCGCGTCAATTTCCAAGTGTGTAATAAACTGGTGCAGCAGATATTAACAACGCATCAATGTCACGATAGCCTAACACGGTATATACACATAGTTGGACACTAGTTATCGCAACGATGTATTGTAACGACACATCGTCGTTTTTATATATGATTTTGACAGAGAACTCATGAGAACCTGCAACTTCGTTTTATAGACTGTGACAATTTAGGAGCGGCTTCACCTTAGGTACTCGATCGAGGCATATCAGAACAGAGTCGGCTCGACGGAAGCGCGGTTTCTCGAGCGGCGTTTCGCGATTTCGCTTTCGCTCGTCAGGGTATCGATCGTGTAACTTTATTCCTAAGACAGGAATGGGAAAAGTAACATGTTTTCACATTAGAAAGCTCACATTTTTACGAGTTCATGATCAATCCCCAGCCAAAGCTGCCAGATCGTGGGATTTTTGAATCATGATTCACGCGATGGAAGGATTTACGTTACGCTACACGAATATAAACTACGCTTGTTTAGAACTTCAAGGAAAGAGTTACTAAAAAGAGCGTAGCTTACATACCTCGTGTAGCGTAACGTAAGACTACCAAAATATGAAATACGATTCAGAAATCGTATCTTGAATCGTATCACAATCTGGCATTTCTATCCCCAGGCGGTCATGAATCTCCACCACTAGTGAATTCGTGTAAAGTGTAAATTTTCTAATTTGAAAACATTCGGAATTTTCACCTTTCACGCGTTTAGAGGAAAAATTACGCGACCGATACTCAGCTCTCCTTACGAAACGGGAAAATGAGATTTCTCGATGTAGAACTCGGAAGTCGCGAAGACGGGGAGCGGAATGGCGAATCCTCGCCTCCCTCGAGCCGATTCCGCATATCACGCGCATCCCTATGCCAGTTATTTTTAACATAGTTCAGTTATTTATAACGTAGTAATCGACATATCTAACGTTGATGCGTATTTTACTAGCGACCGATTGTTTCATCGTTATCTTTCCATTTGCAATGTGATATTCTGCGTATTTATTTAATAAAAACGTACTTTATATTTTATCGCCGTTAACTTATGGAATGTATTATTATATAGTATCTCTCTCTTAGACTTATAATATTGTATAATTTATAGAATATATCGTTGTATAATACTATCGGGTTTTCTCCGTTTTTCCAATGTGTGATAAAAAGTCATTATATTACTCATCAATCTTCACCCCGCTGCAGCCTATCTGGGTCATTGTGACCTTGAAGCCTTCCGCTGTTAATTTTTGCGAGATGCTCGAGATGGTTTCCTGCGCGGTGTCCGGCGGGATCAAGATATACGCGTGTCCACCGCCGCCGGCGCCTGTTAGTTTCGCCCCCAGTCCGCGTTTCCGCGCCTCGTCGCAGATCCTGTCCAATGACGGATGCGACACTCCCAGTGTAGACAGTAAGTTCTGATTCATGTTGATGAGAAACTGCAAGAGAAGCGTGCGTCAAGAAACGCGTACAACGCGGCTTAGGATCTCGGAAAGAAACGGTAATACGGAGGCGATCTATATCTTGAAAGAGAAGGAACCGATGTCTGCTTGTTCAGGCTTTTCTCATTGAATGAGAAATCTTAAAATTGATATTCCAGGCTGGTATCTTAGGCTTTCACGATGTGAAGAAATACTTCGGTTGGCTTTCGAGTTAACTCGCCCATCACACAGCAAAAAACAATTTGTACTTGTGTTAAAACCGGTCCTTGTTAAAATTTTCATGTCAAGTTTTTAACATACCTGTATGTTAACTTAACATATTGTGCTTGTTATCGCAACATTTTGTGTTGTGTCGATATTCAACATGAGTAAGTACCAAAATAACACATTTTATACTTCACAGTGTCGATTAACGCATCAATTTTGTGTTACCTTTCACCGTATTTCACCTTGTGTTAAATTAACACGAAAATTTGAGTAGACCGTTTGGGACATGTGAAATGTGTTCAATTTAACGTCAAATTTTTTTTACCGGATTTGTCCCCGACGTTTCGGAAATCTTAGGATTCATCGGACACCTTCGAATTCCGAGAGACCAAGATTCACGCTCGTACTGCGAAGAAGGGCCACTCACAGACTCGCGCATTTCTTCAGGCGCAAGATCGAGGAGGGGGGGGAGGGGGGATGTGCGAAATGGTATTTCTTCTTTCAAGATACAGATCACACGAAGGCCACTGTCGATCACTCACCACCAATTCTTTGTATTTTAGGAGAAGAGACTCGCCGGAGAGATGGTGAATGGCTTCGATCACTTGGAGAGCCGCGTGCGATATCCCATCGATGGAGAACAAAAGGGGATTGACGATCGCGGGATACTTGGACTTCAGCTCCGCTATCATCTGCACTAACGCCTTTGTGCTCCGTTCGATTCGAGTGTCGACCAGCAGGATCCTCAGGCTCGGCACTTCGGCCATGGGTTCCATCAGACTGCCTTTCTGGAATTTCACGATCGAGCCGAACGTGCAGATGGACGTGTCGAGGCCGGACGGGTTGTTGTGCATGATCTTCTCGCAGTTCTGGGCGTACTGCGAGATCTGCGTCAAGTCGAACGTGCCGAGGCCCGTGCCGACGATGCCTTTCTGCAGCCGCGACCACTGATAGAAACAGGTCGCGAGGCACACCGAGAACGACGCCGAACTGCCGAGACCTGAATTGATCGACAGGCACGTGTCCAAGTGTATGCGGAAGGGTTTCAGGACGACCTGTTCCTCGTAGGAGACGAGAACGAGCGCGTAAAAGAACACTTCCAGGCTCAACGTTTGCCGAGACGTGGTGGCACGGTCGATCGTGGCGACGAATTGCCGCACCTTGTCGTACAGCAGATTGTGGTCCCCGCTGCGGTAGTCGAAACTAAAGCTGAAGAAGAAGTCCTTGATCTTCTGCAGCGGCACGCTCAGACACAGGTCGACCTTCGGCAGCGAGATTTCAACCATCCGCTCCGCCGGCTCGTCGGGCACTTCGGTGAACTCGAGCATCACACGCTGGTCCAAGCTGGCCGCCAAGGCGAATTTCTCGTACACCACCGCGTGCTCACCGAACAGGATCACCTTGGCGGGCGCCGACACTTTGAATCGATGCATCTTGCTCACGGGTAACATCTCGTTAAACGAATTCTTCGCGAATCACCGCGTGTCTATCTCTAACTCTTGTAACTTGGCGGAATCAACGTCACACGAGTCTCAGTCGATTCTTCTTTTTCTCTCTCGATCTCTCAATATGTGGCGTCCATCGGCACTTTCGGGGGATGCTTCTCTCGCGATTCCTTCCCGCGGTTATGGCGCGTGTATCTCAATCGTCTCTAGCTCTTCCTTCTGGGCCGCACACGCGAGGCTGGATTGCTTAATATTCGACTGTTCAGAGAATTTATAGTTAGTTTTTCTCACACAAAAAAAAAGTGTTGGATTCGAGTGAAAAATTACTCAAATATTCGTTAGGCTTTTTAACAAAAGGTGACCTCTTATGACTTTGACAGCGTATTCGATAATTATCTCGGGATTCGTAGTGCGAAAGTAGAACGGATAAAAAAATGTACACCCTATTTATTAAACTTCTTTTGTTAATAACTTTTTAATAAACAATGAATGATGAGTAAAAACCTTTTAAATGTTACTCAGAACTTAAATGATTCTCATACAGCACAGAAGCTCGCAGCAATATTGCTGCATGTATATGACACAAACCTGTGTTTTCCTCTTAAGTATATACGATGCCAGAAAACTACTTATTTAGGAAACTTCCTTTATCAATACTTCTTAACAGACTGGCGGTTAAATCTACCGAGTTATTCAGGAGGATACGTATATGTTAAGGTTATAAGATGTGGGATCTCCTTTTGTAAATATTTACCTAAGCAAATTTTACTTGAACCAGGTAAATATTTCACTTGGATAATTTACTTGAAAAATATTTCACTTATGAATCAAATAAATATCACTTTCTAAGAAGTATTGGGAAATTTATTCGCTTAAATGTAGCCCTTTTTTCTGTGCAGCAGAGGAAATATCGACATGCATGTTACACGCGTAACCCGAGAGAATGATTTGTCACCTGCTACATTGATTCAGGGTAGTCGCTTCCGATTCGTCACACACCATGCGTATCGAGCATTTAGCGCCGTTGCCGCCGAAATAATCTAACGTTTCCTGCAACATGAACGTAATGCAAACGATACACTGTACGTACACAATTGCGAGATGCAACGAGAAGGCGACGCGACGTGACTTCTACGCGACTGACTAACCTGCCGAGCGCGCGTGCGAGCGTTACACTGCCTCCAGCATGTTAACTGCCATGAAGAATCGAGGCAGTTTAACCGACAACTTGTGACCGAAAATAATATAATATCGGCATATCTCACTGATTTATATATAACGTAAGCTGCGCTTGTACGCAACAAAAACTAAATATGCAGCCGACAGAGTGGTAATAAAATGAGTCGACGAATATATGCATCGTGAATTGAATCCATTCGCCGCATTTTTAACACTGTGAAACTTCAGCTAAGCGTTGACCAATCGTTGAAAGTCGGCGCGGCAGTAAATGCGTTAATATTAATTCAAATGAGAGGTGCTATGCTCCGCAGAGCAAAGTTCGAGGTCTTCTGTGTGAAGCATATAATACTTTTCTTTTGTTACATTGTATGCAAAGTACAGATGTAGCAATGATAAATAAGTTAATATATAATATGTCGCGGTATCTTCCTACCATTAGTCGCAATAGATCCTAATATTTTTCAATTTGTTCTTCGCTGTTTTTTTATATATTTTAGTGTCTGATCTATTCCTATAAGCACATAATAGAATATTATATAGATATTATTATATAGATCTTAGAATATTATATAGATATTATTCAATATTAAAATAATATTCCTATAATATTCTAAGAACATATAATGTTTTTTAATATTATAGGAATGTTTTATTAATATTATATGTCCACTTCACATAATATTCTTGGCTTATTATAAAAATGTTCTTAGAATATTAAAAAAAAGAATAAAATAATAATAATATAGAAAAAAATATATATATATATTCTTATAATTCTTTTTAATATTATATCATCATTAATATTATACCATTTAATATTATATTATATTCCTTTTAATATTATATCAGACATTTATATTTAAATGTTAAATGTTAAATATTAAACAAAAATTATAAAAATGTTTCGGCGAATATGTTCAAAATTCGCACACTTTATATAATCTCTTACGTGTAGGCATGTGCGGTACATGGAAAAAGTAAGAAGTAAAATAAGTGATGAATCATAGTTGTTTATGGCTCGATCGTATAGAAAATAATTGCTCAATTTTATTCTGTATTTTTTTATTAGCCTGTGGTCTTTATAGCTGAACTGGTTGTTTTAGTTCAAGAAAATTATACACACTGAAGCGTGAGAATGTTGTACGTACGCTTCATACACTTCAATGTATATACAAATTGCTTGAACTGAGCAGTCAGTTCAGCTTTAAACAATAGACCACTGAATTTGCATTACATACGGTCTGTTGTTTTCACTAAATTACTGTGCACTTAATGAACTTGGAAAAAGACAGATACGTAGTTAAAACCTGGATTGCGTTTAAGAGCGTTTTCAGCCGCTGTTGCGGCAGTTATTATTCTATATTTTATGTCTAGTAAATGATAAAAAAAGAATGGCACAATAACACGCTGATAACACGCAGTTCTGGTGAAAGAAAGAGAAGAGAGTAAACTAGTACGGCTGGTTCAACAAAAAAGAACAAAGCAAATATAAAGCTGCTTTTCCTGCAATCCTTGCTTCTCAACGTTAAAATTTAAGATCACACGTTGGTCATGGAAAATTTTCCATTATCATCTGGAAAACTTGGAGAAGTCAAGGAATATCAAAATTTACTTTCTGTGACAACCTTGTATTGCGACAAACGGAGACTTAATAACGCCATAAAAAAGTACCAAGTAACATATATTATTTTCGTGCATTCCTGTTTTATTTACAATGACTTTTTCATTTTTAGTTTCAATCACAATTCACATGCTTCTCATGCTCAACGATCCGGCGTCGACGTAGCGCGAGCCGACTCATTTATTTTATCATTTATTCATACTTCACGCACTTCCCGCAATTCCTCCCTGACGCCGACAGTTGGACGTAATTGAAGTACAGAAAAAAGATAAGAAAATGACCACACGAATACACCGATACTAAAAGTGGAAACAAATCGGGATACCTCTCGGGTGGTTTCACGCACCTGCTGCCGACGGAGAGAATCAACGCGCCCGAGAGCGAAAGATAAAACACGGCGAGGAGCCAGGATCTCTTAAAGTAACCCGGCAAGTGCGAGGAAATCCCACGCTCTTTATTTCGCGCCACGAATCTGCGCCTTGAACCTTCCGATTCGTTTCTATTCCGGCCACTGGCGGCTTCGTCCTTATCAAACATGTCAGGCCACATCCAAGAAACAGCTATGAAATAGATAGCCATCGTGAGGACGTAAACCAAGTACAGATCATCTTTGATAAACAACGGTAGCATGCTGAAGCTCGAGATCAGGAGGAACCAAAAGCACGGAAGGGGATCGTTGTGAAAGTGTAGCAGAACCGGCACGGCGGCCAGGAGAATCGACTTCTCGTGAACTTGGTACGAGAAGAGGAAGAAGGCCAGAGCGGAATTGATGAGGGAAACTACAAACGCGTCCCTGCCGGGCGACCGGTACAAATGCGCACAGCTCGGTGCAACCGCACACGTCGTCGCCGCCAGGCAGATCCTGGCGAGCTCGGCGTTTGTGAAGGTCTCGCGTAACTTGTAGACGACATTGATCGCGCACCAGACGTTGGCGACCTTGTCTTCGAATACGCCTCTGGCGAACGGGAACAGTCTGAGCACCGCGCTGACGAGCGAGTCTCTGCTACGGAGAAACGGCATCCAGATGACGCAGAACGTCGCCAATACCGTGAGCGAGACGCCCGTCAGTCCTACGAATCCACGATAATTCCAGGACCGTCGTCTGTAGGTGCCGAGAACGTAGAAAAAAAACGGCAGGGCGTGGTAAAGCTCCATTTGCTTGTAGTTCAACGCCAAGACGAACAAGACCGAGCTGAATGCGAACGAGTTGCGAGTCAGCGTGGCCGCAGCGGCAACGAGGAGACCCAGTGACACACAGTTGTACTGAAAATGTCCGTGGTCTATGATTATCAGTCCCGGGTATATCAGCGCGGTCATAAGGACGAGGCATCTCGTCCCGAACTTGTCGCAGTCTCTCGACTTCTTAATCTGAAGACGCTCGCACAGGCACAGATTCATCGCGAAGTAAGCCACCGCTGGTATGTAAGTGAGGATGTCCGCAAGCAGGACGGTCAGTCTCATGAAATGTTTATGCGCCACGGTCTCGATTCCCCTGGACTCGTGCAGTCTCACGAAGGAAGGATCGACGATGTTCGCGATGTGACCTAACAGGAGGCTGTGGTATGCCGTCAAGGGCGGGTAATCTAATCCCCAGTACTGCAGGTCATTGTCGGTGGTATTGGTGTACCACTCGTTCACGGGCAGATTCAACGTGATCTCCTGCCAGTGGCGCTGCGCCTCATAATCCCCGTACATCGGCGGCTCGCCCTCTCCGCTGTGAGGATGGAAAGTAACGCAGCATCTCAACAGAATGGCGCAAAAGAGGATCAGGACGATCTTGAGCTTTCCCTGCATGTTGCGTTCCCTACAGCACGAGCGGGTCCTCGTTGGAATGCATAATTTTCTTAAGTATTGTATGTTTACACGGTTATTTCTACGGTATATACATATATATATCTATCGCTCCGAGGTCTATTCTATCCTCGAATCGAAAGTGATCGGCAACTATTGCTGGTTTCTGGTGAAATTGTCAGGTTATCGTGTTGCGGTTAACGTTACGTATGCAAGTAGAAAGAACAGGAAATGAGGTCAAGAAGGCGCGTTCTACGTACCACTTTCCAAGCTCTCAGTACATCAGTCAATTTCCCTCCAATGTATTCCTCGGTATACGGCATATTCATTCGTAATAACCGTTACGAGCGGGTACCGCCGGTTACCACGCAGTCACCCGATGCCAATGGCTGATTAGAGTGACTTGATATTTATTGTAAATGCACTGAAAATGTACAACTTGTACACTATAGATTCTCGGTACCGGGAACATCAGAACGCAACCTAGATAAGCCTCTTTATCGCGCATGCAATGCGATCCAACGATAGTCCAATATTAAGTCACGCCATACGGTATGTTTTCTTGATAGTCTAGTGAGATGTAGTAACATACTAGATAAGTTGGACCTCTGATTGGCTAGTTTTTAGTACGTTACTAAATCAAGAAACCAACATCGTCTAACGCGAGCTTTCGCTGGTATTCATAGTTGAATTTTATGTCAAAACCGTCTTAAGTTCATTTTCAGGTGTTTCATAGCCAATAAAATGAGCCGTACAGCATCTGAAGATATACTTAAGACGGTTTTTGATATAAGATCTGATTATAAATGTCGGCCTTTGACTAGATACGCCATCTAAGATTGCACGTGTGTCCACCCAACTATGTATCCAAATTCTTTCCGCTTTTGTCGGTAACGTAGATTCTTTTGATTAGTATGTATAGGCGCTTTCGATTTACGACTCGACCTAACTCGAGCAGCGTTCGATAATTGCTACAGTATTGCAAACTGTAGTATACGCAAAGCCCGTATCAGACTATGGATTAAAGATTGAGATAGAATTGAAATTCGACCAATCAGTATAGAATTCATTAAATTTCACTAAATTTAAGTTTAGTTAATTTTACATTGATTGGCTAAATTCAAATCAATCTCAATCCCCAATCCGTAGTCTAATACGGGCTTAACATGAATTATAAATTGCAATATTGGGTTATCGGAACATTGCCTGAGTCGGGTTGAGTAGTAAATCGAAAAGGCTATAAACCAAATGAAATATTTCTAAACACGGTTCTAAACTACGACCGCGGAAAGTAATTATCTTTGAAAGATACATAAGGCCAGTCTCACGAACTAGTTAACTTAATTGACCGATTATTCCGCTGAAATTGACCAAACGTACTTATCGTAAGTAGAATTAACCAATCACAGTTGATGCTTAATCGGTAGATTAAATATAAAAGTTGCCAACAATATGTTTAGGAAATCACAAGTCGTTGTGATGATTGGTTAATAATGATCAGTTGTAAGTTTTGTAGTTGTAACTTTTAAATTTAATCGACCGATTAAATAAGTCTACATATAGAGTTTTAAGGCTTAGAGCTTAAATTACCTATTGTAGACTAGGACTTAGCCTTAGGCCGATATTCATAGTCGGGTCTCATATTTAAAACTGTCTTAAGTTTATCTTCAGATTCTTCCTAGTCAATGAAATGAGCCGTAGAACATTTGAAGATAAACTTAAGACGGTTTTAAATATAAGATTTAATTGTCAATACCGGCCTTAGTCTACAATAGATGCTTTAAGTCTTACCGTTTATTCAATTAGGGCGCGTTCGAGGAGACGCTATTTAGCGCTACCGCGTCATTCTATACTTATTGTACATATAAAGAGTAATAAAGGTAGAATGACGCGGTAGCGCTAAATAGCGTCTCCTCGAACGCACCCTTAATAGACAAAATGACGTCACAAAACTTGATTCGATTCGACAGTACTGATAATCGCATTTGGTTTATTTTCAGCACATCACATCCTTCGCACTTCTAACAAAGAATTTTCTCTTTATGCTCTTTTCTGGTATTCTTTATTCAATGATTTAGCGCTTCGAGCGAAAGGCTCTTGCTGCCCCTATTGTGTGGATCCGGATTAACTCCAAACTGTTTCAAACGGCACGCTACTGTGCGCTGCGTGGGCGCATGCGTCGGCGTGCGCCGCGGGCCAATGCGACGCCAAGTGAGCGGGCACACACCTCCGGAGAGCGGCCAATCGGCGTGGGCGAAAAACGCGGCGGCGCGCGTTAATCGGTGTCGAGGCGCGTCGGCGACGGTCGGAGTATTCCGGCGCGGCGCGTTATATTTAAGCCATCCGCGGTCCCGGCTTCAACGACACCGTGTCGGACGGCGCCCGGCGAGAGCGAAAATCAATAATATTCCAGTCCGCGTCGTAAGGTGGTGAGAGGCAGAGAGAGCCGGTCGGTCGGAGCCGCCATTGCCGTGTTACGTTGCTCGCGCGCGCGCCTCTCGTCGAGCCTTTACACGTCTGCCCAATCTCGCGGCGTCGCACGACGACGCGCTAGCAGGACGCGCTAGCGACCGGCTCAGTCGCGCCGCGCGGCTCCCGTGTATGCACGTAAACGCCGTTCCGGGTGCACGTCGCTCTGTGTGTGCGCCGAAGAGAAGAGAGAAGCACCACACCTCGTGCTGAGAGCTCGCCGCACGAGAAGAGCCCCGTACGCTGCCGTCGTCTCCGTCGCCACCACCACCGCTGCCGCCACCACCGCTACCAACGCCGCCGCAGAGCCGACTCCTTGACTCTATTGGGCTACCCGACTCGGCTGCGGCAGGTACCATTTACCACCCCGGGCATCGTCGTCGGTGAGCTGACCCATCGCGCGCGATTGTCCCTCTCTCTTTCCCTTTCTCACTTCCCTTCGCCGTCCTCCCGTCTCTCTCGTTCTCTCTGTCCCACCGGTTCCTGCCTGAAGGAGGAGAAGAGGATCAGGGTAGTCTTCGGCGAAGCGGTCGCGATATCTCGTCTAGGTACCGCGAGAACGCCGCTCTGACGGTTTCTCTCATTCGCTGACTTTCTCTCTCTCTCTCTCTCTCCCCCC